CTTACTAGTACAGTAGTGGCCTGTCAAGCTGATCGGCACTAGACGAGATAGGGCGACCACCTGTGTTCGTTTTTCATTTTCATTTCGACTTTATTTTGAAGGAAAACTGTACAGGTTATCCCAGTAGATTGTGGCAACCTTGCCCTTTGCTCTTCAGTCCTAAATCATAGTACGCTTGGCACCAAATATGTTTGTGCAGGGGGACTAGCTCACATGGTAGAGCGCTCGCTTAGCATGCGAGAGGTACCGGGATCGATACCCGGGTTCTCCAGGCAAACATTTTTTTCTTCTTCGTGAATTCAGATTTGTATTCCACGTCGTTGCGCACACTCCGAACTTCGGAGGTGGTTGAAGCTTGGAGATTCCCGCGTTTTGGGTCAGCGCATGCGAGCTACTGCAAAAGCCGTGTGTTGATCATGAGTGTATGACATTCCCTTTTTGCATACCAACAGTGCATGCTACATCTGTGTCACTCAAGATTGTGGCCTCTTTGGCGCTTCACATGTGCACAAGATCTCCGAATTCTTCGAGACCCGTTCCTAAATTATTCCAGCTCATTCGACTTCTAGGAGAAGTTTCTCCAAGAAGCTAGAGAAAAAATAAGAACGCACCCTTAATGTAGTACCCTAAACAAATAAACTACGCTGTGGTAATGGATAAAACAGCTTCATCTTTGCTGGCCTTGGTGGCTGGCGTTTATAGCTAAACGTTTGAGTGAGAAGAGAACTCCGAGCGGATTCAGGTCATTGTTGGATAAGGGCTCCTGCCGCCTGTCTGACAGCAGGGCGCCAAGCCGTTTCAGGTAACAATGACGCAGTCACTTTGCCGCAGCCTCCGCCGGTTGCACTAAAGATAAGGGGCAAGAAAGAGGCCTGCTCAACTTCTTGTACCCTCTCCTCGTATGTCCGTCTCTTATCTTGATAATGCCTGGAGTAGGTCTATGCAAGGGATGAGGTCGCTGAGGCTCAGTTTGAACGCTCATGTGGGTTGAAAATCCAGACCTCGAGGAAAGAGCACATTGTCTGTGACACCATCTGCGATGTACTCATATATCTCTCAAAGTCAAACTACGCACTTCAGTGGTAGTGAGCCCGCACCCCTTTTCCCTTGACCAATGCCCTCAGACCTCGGGCCATGGTTTTCATAGCAACTTTTCCAGAACCGTGGTTTTACTCCAGTGCGTGCAGATCACAATAATAATTTATTAGTTTTACACCGTTAACTTCTGCAGAAGTCAGGCAGGGGGACTAGCTCACATGGTAGAGCGCTCGCTTAGCATGCGAGAGGTACCGGGATCGATACCCGGGTTCTCCAGGCAATACTTTTTTTACTCCAATATCTACAGTTTGTAATGTTGCAAAAGAAGGATCCACGACTGGAATTCGAACCCAGCACCCCTCCCTGTCTTTCCGGGACACTGCCATCGGGGATCACACACACCCGTGGCTCCTTCTTGCTACACTAACTGACTTGTTGAGTACCCGTTACCATGGTGATCAGGACTACTGCAGCGTCCTTCATCACAAATCTTGCCGTTACCACAATGGAATGGGATGTTTGTGCTGCACATGTGTGTGTATGCTTGCAGGCTCAAGATTACTTTGAAACGACCATAGCTGGCCCGTGGATGGAGCGCTGGGAGATTACACATCCCAACCGGCACACTAATGCCCTGAACGCAGGCGGCCTCACTGGCTGGCACTCCAAGGCGTAGAGATTAAACGTTACTTTGCGATTTCTCTCTCTCTCTCTCTCTCTCTCTCTCTCTCTATTTCTCTCTCTCCTTGTTCCTCTCTGTCTGTCTATCTGTCTCCGTTGCTGTGTGTTGTGCACATGTGGCATACGTCAAGGTGTCTAGAAACCGTGGCTAAATCACTATTGTCTTTGCGCGCACGACAGGTTGTGACTGCCGATGGCCGTCCCCATCTCCTATACTCCATTTGTTGAAGACGTTTACCATGAACCATGCATACCCTATCACCTTATACTATTCACAATTCTATCATCTTTTTTCCTTCCTCTTTGTTCATGGGAAGTGTACTCATGTACAATGTATGGCCCTTCGGACTGTGAGTTTGATTCTTTTGGCAAACACAGAGCGTGTGACTGAATAGTCACTTTGATTTCAAGAGCACTTTTTTTAAGTTTTTTATTGATTTTGAACTTAGAATAACGTCAGTTCCAGGCACGGATATTTTCATCTGATAGCTAGGCAGGTGATATACGACGTAGTTATATTTTTATAATTGTTCTTCTTTTCTCTTATTCACATTCGCCCTACGCTTGCTGGTTCAAGTCTGTCTCCTCCGTTTCACCCCTCGTTCAATTGCCTGCTCTCGGAATATTTACGATTTCACTAGTACTGCGAATGATAAGGTAATGGTTTACAGCACTATTTTTTAAATCTTTTAAAGAAATAGTTTTGCCCTGTACTGTTTGCTATGTGAGGGCTGATTGTGAGTACCGTAATGTCGCGTATAAAAGCAGGTGCTTACGGCCGTATAAGCCGATATCAGTGCTAGGCTTCTATTCAAGTCAGGCTTCTATTCAAACCACGTATCTCTATGTATGTCAACACTAAAACCAAGCTTATGTGCTGACAGTGTATAATACGAATCAGGCTTCTATTCAAAACAGGCTTACAAGACACTACATACAGTAGATGCCCGCAGACTATGCTGTGTACTGTGTAGTGCCCATACAGACCCGAGCCGGACAACAGAGGTTACGCGAATGACGTCATGAGTCAGCGGAATCGCTTGTGGCCGCCATGTTTACAGAGTGAGTTGCTAGCAGAGAGTCGTATAATTAGGACTCCCTGGTTGTTAGTGCATCGCCATGCCGCGACTATGCCAACGCATCTCAACTGATGATGTAATCGCATAACCTCTACACTTTGCCAGTCAACGGTTGCATGAACTGAACATATCGGATGTGATACACCTTCGGTAGCCTGTAAAAGGCTCAAGCGGCCTTCAAAATGCGGCGGTCCCTGTGCTGTGTAGAGAGGTCTACAGGTGGTCTCCTTATCCAGGGTTATTTGCCTGGAAGTAACGTCCCTTGGTCCCGGTTGTAGTACTAGTGGTGCTCCAGTCCTCTAGAACACTTTTGGTTACCTTGTCGGAGTGATGGCCTTCGCAGGTCACTTTACTGTGCCGAATCAACTCCACACACAAGTAGGCATGCACTGACTGGTGCCTGCATAATTAAATTTTATTATGGTATAACACTGCATGCAGATATAGCCTACAAGTGAGAAAGCCTGGCTCAGAAACACACACACATGCATACACACACACACACGCACACGCACACACACACACACACACACACACACACACACACACACACACACACACACACACACACACACACACACACACACACACACACACACACACACACACACACATACACACACACACACACACATGCATACACTACAGTAGCACAGCGATGCCGGAGGGATTCCACAAGTCGGAAATACAAAGGCGAAGAGTACACAAGAACGGCATGCAACTTGTGAGATCAGCACTAGCCGTCAGCACTAGCACAATGTAGCCTGCACGTGCAGTGGAGTGTCCATCGCTGGACTGCCATTGCTGGCTTGCCGCCGCCGCACTGCTGTGACTAAAGTAATCAGCACAGCATTCAGATAGACGCAGACACTGCAGTTAGAAGAACACAGTGCCCAGGTAAACTGTGTGAAACCGCCTGTAATGGACAGTTAGTAATGGCAAGAAAACGGAGAGAATAGCGGGTGTGTTGGGTAGGGGGGGGGGGGGGAAGGGGGAAGACACACATACAGCCAGCCATCTACAAATCCTTCTTCTTCTTCTCGCCTCCCTCATCTCCACTGCCGTCCTCGTCCTCCTCTCCTTCCTTGGTCAGGAAGCCGCTGATGGAGATCTCAATGCGCGGCTTGACGAACGCCAGGTAGAGCACCAGGACCACATGCCAGAGCGTCAAGATGCCGTAGCACGTGGCTCTCAGTATGAGTAGGTCAAGCAGACGGTAGCGCAGCGGAAAGACGGCAAACTGGAATCCGGCGAGAAGGTTGGACGCCTCGAGCCGCGCCAGGAAGAGGTGGTTGTCGCGGATGGTCTCGCTGTCGTCAGCGTTCGGTAGCGGTGTCGTGAACAGGCCGTGCGTGATGCACGCCAGGCACAGTACGTTCAACCCACAGATGATGTAGGTATAGAAGGCGCACTGCCAGGCTACCTCACAGGGCGACGAGAACAGCGGAGGGTCCATTGTGGAGCAGTATGTGGGCAGGAACGCTATGGCAATGTCCAGGACCGCGATCAGAAGGTGCATGCCTACGTAAAACGTGGCTGCCTTGCGTCCAGTGGTCTCCGCGCGGGCAGCGTTCACCAGCACACCGCCGAATACCAGCGATGCCAGGCGCACCATCCAGCTCACGCCCTGCAGGCATGCCAGCGACCCGGTGCCCGTTATCAGTGGGTAGCCGCCGCTGTCGCTATCGTCCTGCCACAGACATGCTAGCAAGTGACAGACCACATAGTCCAGGGCACCGATCACTTGTACAGCGACCAGTGGCATGGTCATAAACGAGATGTAGTGAAACATCGCCATGATGCCGGGCCGGTGACCAACACGCCTGGACAGGTCGAAAGCGCTCGCAACTGAAACAATTCAGATTCAGTTTCCGCAGCAGATCTACGATGCGTGGGCACAATCGACAGCAGCAGCAGCAGAGCTGGAATTGTCCTCCTTACTCGTCGCTCTCGGACAGAAGACGAGTTCTGCCGTCCCTTTGCTAGTGCGCGTGTGAATAGTGACCTTCCTCCAAGGTATTTATTAGAACCCGCACTCCGATCGAGTCGTCACCTCTGATGAGCACTTGCATCGGGACGTGAAGGAAGCCAGGTCGCAGGCAGCCAAGCTCCTGACCCTGGACTCCATACTTCGTCGTCTTCCTTCGCTGGGAACGGTGGGAAGTCATCGGCGGAGGTTTCTCGAAAAGGTCGGAGGCCTCGAGGATCAGCTTGACGCACAAGATAGTCAACGGAAGTGAACGAGCTATCAGGACGTAACCAGGTACTACTAGTAACTGGTAACACGACACTGGCATGCGCACCATGACATGGTAGATCTACTGAGTCTGTACGACTGTAGTCTAGATCTACATGGTGACGGTGATTGCGGTAGGACCATGATGACGATCTCCGAAGTCTGCGCCTCGGCGGGGCGGAACTGTCGAGCTTCTGGGCCCAGATGGGGTGCGTCCGTAGATCTACGTCGGATCTTCGACATCACTGCGACAAAGTATGTAGACCTACAAAATAGTCCTGACTTGTAGCTTGAACCAGGGAGTCGTATAGACCCGGTATACGACTCCCTGCTTGAACTAGCTTCTTCCGTACCACAAACCTCAAACCCCACTAATGGCACCATGGCATGGGCATGGACTCTTCAAGTTCAAGTCTTGCCATGATGAGTATCATGCTGTATGGCGTTGAAAGCTTGCCATTATTCTAATCAGGAAGTCATAATTATAAACCGGGTATACGACTCCCTGCTTGCCATGCCATGCCGTGGACATGGTAGATCTGCCAGTACAGTCAGTCTACAATCATGATTGTACATGTATGTACAGTTGTACCCTGATCATGACATCGGTGACCATGGAGACGTGTTGTTGAGTGTCGTCTCACTCTTTTTGAACGTGACTGCCGTAAGTAGCGTGTACGTGTGTGCATTCACGGAGCTCCGGAGCTAGCTGACAAAGTGACAGGGCCAAGTGCGTTGCCGCACACCAACAGCTTTGTTTTGAATGGACTGGATCATGGAGGTGGATCTTCGCAAGAGTCTCGGGTTATACTCGGGAGTTTGACTGTACTCTTGTCGACACTGATTGTTGTTCCGTATCTCTGGAAAGCATAGGGATCGAATCACTTTCAGCGGACCACCTCCTTCATTGATTTATCAGTTTTGACGCCAGCCATTGGATAAATCATCTCATCGTGACCCCGTACTGTCACTAGAATGCCGTTCGTGTCCGCCACGGAGAAGTGGATATGCCAGCGAGTGGGTATCTCACATGCCGAAACCGGTAAGTGGTCTATGTCTAGTTGCAGCATTGCTTGCGTACTAGTACTTTGGACTAGAGTCTTCGTGGCTGAGATTTCCCGACAAGCACCAAAATAATACCTTGGTGGTTACATAATTATGCATTCACCTCCAGTCCAGGGCTGAACGCACACGCACGTAGCCTACGACAAAGCACCCAGTGAAAAAGAGGTTACCACGAGTAGTACTGCCCTACCACACTGTCAGTACATCTCAAAGGATGTCGTACATATACATGTGTGATGTGTGTCCGGGGGGGGGGGGGGGGGGGGAAGAGGCTGCAGCTTTTACAATCTAGGACAGGTTTAGTTCCCAAGAGAGTCAAGACAGATATCAGACACGCTGGGAAACATTGGGCCGACATGGTCTGCCTGCCTTACCGCTGCATGTGGTCTTCAAGTACGTTCATAGCGGTTACAGGATGACCAGAATTACATCATCCAATTGCATGGCAATAGGCACCGTTCACCTGCGCAACCCGGCATAAGCAGTCAAATATAAGCAGTCAATATAGCCATAAGGAGTGAAATATGCAGGATTAAATTATAGTATAAAAAACCTCCAGCCATTTGCGGGTTCTAAAAAGCAGCTAATCACTCATATAAAAAAACCTGGTGCTATAAAAAAACCGCTTTTTAGGAAAAAAACAATCTAGCATGGTAATACAGAACAAAAACAGCACAAGGAAAAGAAAAACTGGAATAACGATAATAATTACAAAATTGAACGACACGAAAGGCAGAAAGTGGAAGTGAGCACAAATAAGCTTACTCCGGCAGAAGTGAAGCGTAGTGTGGAACCATACAAACTGAGTCACCTTCTTCACATTAAGTGTGGTTGACGCATCGGCGAAATACTCCTTTAGGAGAACCCAATCATTATCAGCAATACTATCCTTGTGGACAACAGGAGCCTCCAAACCAGTCCGCTTCCTCTCTTTTAGCACAGCATCCAAGAGTTTGTTGGGCCTGTTGAAAGCCGGATCTTGCAGGCTGATTCCTCGCTCTAGAGAATTCAGGTGGCGTTGAAATGCCCCGCGAGCAGCTATCATACTTGAACGATTGTACTCGGATTTGTCCTGCTTTTTAGCCGAGCAGTAGAAGTCTTCGAGCATGCCCCGGCAAGTTCTCCCTCTGTAACATTTTTTCCAGTCGCAAGATTTGCTATCCGTTTGCAAGAAATCGGAAAAAACAGTCAACCAGAATTCCGTTGCCGTTTTGGTTGACTTCGGCACTGCGCCCTCCAACAGCTCGTCTTTCCTTGCGGAACTTACAGGTTCAAAACGCGAAGACTCAGCCATAGTTCTTCAAAAGCAAAAAAAGTTACAAGGAAATGAAAAAGGCAACTTTCTTGCTCAAGGAATTACAAGGACTTACTGCGCATGCATCCCCCTTTACCCAGACGTATGTAAGTCATGTGCAAAGAAAAATCGTTTTTTTATACTATAATTTAAATAGAATATAGGGCTATGATCGTTTGGTCGGATCCAGATCCAGATCCAAATCTCAGATCCGTCGGATCCTTCAGAATCAACCGAACACTTTTTTGCGGACCTTGGCTGTTGCCATGTTGACGAAGTAAAAAATGGCGCTGAAAGGTCACCCAAAAAAGGCAAAAGTCGTACTGATCGCCCGCGTCGTACGAAAAGTCAACAAAAGTCCACTAGACGTACGACAATGAGTATAAAAATGATTTTTACCCACCATATACGCACAAAGGTCACATTTGGATCCGATGGATCCAGTCAACCCTGCTCCCGGGGCAGGGTTGCTCGGATCCAAATCCGAAGGATCTGGATCCGGATTCGACCAATCGATCATTGCAGATCCAGTGGATCCGATGGATCTGGATCTGGATCCGACCAAACGATCACGGCCTAAGCTTCGCCCTCGTGTTTACGGGAAAAAAAACCTCGGTAAAAAACCTCGGCTTCGCCTCGGTTTTTTGCCTCGGGTTTTTATTTCCCGTAAACACTCGGGACTCAGCTTATATTCTATACATATTTGACTGCTTAGGACTGCTTAGGTATAGCAAAAATCAATGGGAGTCAATACTAAGAGAGTGATAAAGGTCCATATTTTGCTTTATCGCCTTCTTAGTATTTGACCCCACTAATTTCCCTGATACCTATAGTCTGTTTCAAAAAGATTTACAATCAGGTTTGGGTCTTAAAAAGTATGAAGATAAGGGAAATTTGGACAACAAAGTACATAGAATGGCTTGTTAGGACACGGCAAATTGTTCTGTGAAGGTTTCGGAACAATTGGACCAACCGTTAAGGAGTTAGAATTTCGGCCAGGTTTCCGGCCTTTTCCCATGGTTTACAATTTGCCCAGGAAGCCAGTATCGATTTTTTATCAAAACCCACGATTTCTCCTTTCCTTTTTGGCCTTGTGGTTATGAATGCTGTCTGCTGACCGTGAAGTTGTGAGTTCAAATCCCAACCTATCCTCAAGTCAAACTTTTTTTCATTGTTTTGGTGATCAAGCTGGTACAAGACAAAGAAGATGGCTGCACCAAACGACTTGTTGTTGGAGGTCGCGCTTCCTGCCGAACTGACTGACACTTGACTGGCTCACGCCATGTGAACACACCCACAACACTGCAATGGTGTGAGTGAATATGGAAGTCATCGCGCTGTAGCTTTTCGAGATTTATTTTTAGTATTTCAAGATCGCCAATTTATTTGAATTTAGCAGTCAACGCCGTCTTCTATCAGCGTTCACAAGCGTCTGTTTTTCTCAAAATGTCGTCGAAGTCACACGGATAGCTTTGCCAAGTCATGGCCTTGGGAATGAGTTCGTGTCGATGTCGTTTTCGTCACACGGTGAGTGAATTGCATCGCAGCTCAAAGAAACTATTTTGGTCACAAAACGGATTGGGACACATGCCGCTCGTCAACATTTACAACACTTTCGTTTCGACATGTCCTCTCTGACTCCATTATCGATACGAAGAAGAACTCGTTTGTTGTAAACCAGACGTGATCGTGAGTGAGTTGTCATTTTTCCTGCTTTCGCGCGGAATATTTCTTCGAGTTCACAGTGAGTTTTTCCAGGCAGCGCTCGAGTGCTCATACGGTAAGACGCCAAACTCCGCGGGCGATCGCCAGGGTTGTAAATCTTTTTGAAACGGACTGTAAGCGGTCAAATATATCGCGTATTTGACTGCTTAGTCAAATACACGATATATTTGACTACTTATATTTGACTCCTTAGAACTTCTTGGACTTAGAAATTTTCTCTCCAACTTAGAAAAAGAAATTTTTGAAGAAAGCAGAAATACACAAGACGGGATTTGAACCCACAACCATGTGGATCTCAGTCACTCTTCCTTACCACCCAGCCACTGTTCTACCGATGCTGAACCTAGTTTAAAGGGGAACTCCACGAAAAAATGAAAATTTGATAGCCTGTAGAGTTTCGGGCGCTGAGTCGAATGGTCTTGGTCCGAAGTCTCTACGACGAAGCGTTCTTGAGATATTTCACTTTGAAATTGCAAAAACGGGGGCCGCGCCCTGACGTCATGCGGCCATTTGGTTACATCATCACGGGCTGCCTACGTCATTGTGGCAAAGTCGTTTCTCTTCGCCAGTCTACAAGCACTAATTTTAGTTGGTATTTCAAGGGAAGATGGGCGATTCCGAACAATCCTCTGTCCCCAGCAATGAAGGCAGCGATGCTGAGGCCAGTGAGGACGACCAACAGCCCACCGCCGCGTATGGTTGGGGCAGGGAGCCCAGATACTCTGCTGAGGAGCTGCCATCGCGTGTAACAAATGTGGAGGAAGAAGATGCGTCAGCAGCTGCGTCCGACAGAAGACGAGTAGCTTGGCCACCAGAATCTCGATTCGTTTGGTACTCCGACTGGTGCGAGCGTGGACAAAAGTGTATAGCCATGCCCAGCCCGCGGGAATGATTTTGCTGGTAGGATGCTGCCGTCGCTGTCGACAAGACGGCCCAAGGTTTCTTGCGTAGCGGACCTCGCAGATTACGAGATCGTATCCTTGCATTAGGCTGTGCTCATCACTGCTCTTCGAGGTTATCTCGACATGCAGAAGCCGCCAATGCCAGTGACAGAAGAGTCTGACATTAGGTAAGCCTCAATTAGTTTGCCTTGACTTGTCTTGTGAGGATCGCGTATCAGCATGATACACTTATTCTTATTTTTTGGGGGAAATTTATTGTTGTCAGGCGCACTACAGTAGGCGTCGCACAAGAAAGACATTGTACTGGTAGTTATCACAAGTTTCATGCATGACACAAACAAATTTCTCTTTGCTCCGAGTATGTCTTGACTTATCTTGTGAGGATCGATGCGCGTAATGTTTTGTGTGTAACTAATTATTGTTGTCAGGCATAGCACGAACAACGTTGTTCTGTACTATAGACCGTGCTATCACAAGTTTTCATGCATGACTCACATTTGTCTTTGTCATTTTCCCTTGGATTGGTACAAGATCTACAAAGTATGGTAGGTAGTGTTCTGTTGGTGAAGAGAGCACTACACACAGTTTATGAGCACCATGGGTGCATTAATTTTGATCACACCCGAACCCATACTTTATCGTTTCAAGCGATAGACTTTGTCAATAAACTCGTTTTCTAGTATACCATGGCATAGAGTTGGTGGACAAGCCGTTGATTATTCACTCTCATTGTAATATCAAAAAGTATTCTTTCTAGACCAAAGAGTGGTATATTTGATAACATTTAATAACGATAGAAATTTTTACGATACTTCTCCAGACGTTTCGTTGTTCTGAACAACATCGTCAGTGGATAAAATTCAATTTCTATCGTTATTAAATGTTATCAAATATACCACTCTTTGGTCTAGAAAGAATACTTTTTGATATACCATGGCATGCAACGTACAAGCGTGGGGTCAAGAAAGCGTACACCAAAATAATGCACAAATTCTGGCAGGAGAGTAAGAAATCTGTACTTTCTGACCAAGACATCTCTGTACTAGTAGGTAATCGAACGCGTCCTAATCAGTATTCATCCCCCAGATCATTGGAATTCAATTTGAAATCAGCAATTATGGTAAATTCTACAAGACCCTCCATCTTTGTACCAGTGGACACTAAATTAGTATGGCGCGCGCACTGAAAGTGCAGGTAGGTACCGGTAGGTGCAATACAGCGCATATGTAGAGTAAATGAGTATTTGACTATAATAATTATTACGGCAGAGCAATGTGGTATGTGTACAAGCACTCATCATACACATTCCATATGACATTCTGTGTTTGTGTAGATCTCTACGCTATGCGGCACACAGGCAGTACACACTATGTACACGGCAAATTGGGCAAGCACGTTCGTTGTCGTCTTCCAGCCTGCGTTGTGAATACCATCAGGCAAAGATATCCAAATCCTGCACCACCTCAGCCTTCTCAGGAGGCTTCCACCTGGAATTTGGCAGGGAAACACGCTTCTCCAAGGCAGGAACATGGAAGTTGCCATTTGCAACCGCTACCACCTCACACATGAGCTTGTCAACATACTCATAGCTCTTTCTGTCGTATAATTTTCTATTTGGCCACAGTCTTCTTTATGCTTTGAGAACTGGACTTTATACCTTCCTATCGCGGTCTTTTTGGTTGTGCTGTGGCGACGGTTGACATTGACGTCGTCAAGAGCTGCGAGATGTGCGTGTCCAATCATCCCCAGAATTGAGAAACGAATGCGTTTGAGAATGTAGTTTGGCATGACACTGTGATATACCTGCATGGCAAAAAGAATGTGGAGAAAACACACTTGCTTAGACAATATACTGCTGTATGAGAAAATGGAAACTTCACCGTACAGGACGACTCTTGTTCTCAATTGCATTGTTCGTTTCATTCCCTGTGTTGCCCATAAGAGACGGGAGCAAAAATGTTGCAGCAGATGTTTGTTGTCTTCTGGCGTGGAGTGGCGGCGTCATTAGATGTACACATAGTCATTTCACTAAGTATACCACTACTACAGCATATGTACTATCCTTAGGCTAGCGTGCGTGCGAGTGAGTTTGAGTATGTGGGTGCGTATGTGTGTGTGTTGTTGTGTTTGTGTGTGTGCACGCACGCGCGCGCATGTGGGTGATGGTGTGAGTGCATGTGTATAATATGTGTAGTTCCCACTGTATTCCTTGCACAATAGGTCTTCACTTACTTTTCTTTCGCATACAACCAGAACCCATTCCTTGTTCGAAATTAGATTTTTTTTGGCCTGGTGATCCCGCAAGCGTGGAACTCGGAGTGTAATATATTTTTGTTTCAATTTACTTGCACTATTCCAAGGCTGTCCAGACTTCTAACAACTGCTCTGAGTGATATGGTATTCATGCAACCATGCCTAGAAGTAGGGTAGCTGTTATAAATAGAGACATATCCACGCAATCAACTTACACTGGTTCAGTTTGGCAGGATTGGTGAGACAGTTCGTCGTGCATGCTGCCTGCACATCGCAAGCAAACAGTTCTGTAACCTTCGTACTTGCTGGGGGTCTGTCTGTTTGCGTCCCAGTTGATGACAGATGTGCACAGTTTGAGTACTGGTATGCGCAAAGTTACTGGGGTAATATCGTTCATCAGCTAGCTGCAGTCGGAGTTGATGGGGTGATGTACTCTTCTGATCCTGATGGGACGTATCTCGCCCTGCTTTCTCAGTTGCAGCTTGTTGAGTTCGCTTTGCTGGAGGCTCACGGTTCGGAGGGCACTGGTACACTGATGAGGGCTTTCCTGGACGGCGTACTCGTCAAAACTCAGCTCTCAAGTCCCTCTGGATCATAAATGCAGCGAGCAAACATAGCTCGTGCTGCGAAAATAGGCTTGAAATTTTCACGACGCATTGCAACATCTCGGCGCTTTGCCAGGTCTCCATCCTTTGGGAATTTGAGAAAACTAACCCCAGGAGGATGATGTGATACTGGCACAATCAACAACACAACAATTTGGCATTGCAGCGGCTCAGGCGACTTGGCAAACTACTTTCTGAAGTGACTTTCGTCCTGAAGAAAGTGAGATTCAAAATCCAAGTATTTTCGCACATTGCCACAATGACGTCACACATACATTGGTATGGGGCGTGGCTAAAATTGAAATATCTCAAGAACGCTTTCTCGTAGAGACTTCGGACCAAGACCATTCGACTCAGCGCCCGAAACTCTACAGGCTATCAAATTTTCATTTTTTCGTGGAGTTCCCCTTTAAACAATGACCTTGATCCTGCAATGCCGTACAATGCGGTATATGCTATAGTATAATACTAGAATTACAAGGATATGTCGTATATGAAGAGAAACTATTGCGTGGAGAACACGATAAATAGATTATAGACCTCATAGTTGGTCTATACAGGATATATAGACCTCGTAAAAGACCTCGGGGGACCTCGGTCTTTTACTCGGTCTATATATCCTGTATAGACCTCCTAACCGGTCTATAATCTATACATATTTTAGATTTTTAGTCCATATTGATATGGACTAAAAATAGTTTGCTTCTTTTTCTTCTTTTCCTTTTCTTTCCGACTTCTCTACTCTTTTCCTTGCTAGCCGTGGTTGGCTATAAAAACCCTGCCATCGCTACGCAACGTGGTCATTGGCTGGCGCAGCCATGTATTGCTTGGAATAAAACTAAACACCTAAAAATCTATTTTAATAGTACATTAAAATGTATCTATGAGTGCATGACCCGATGTGCATTCCGTATCCATGGTGATGTGTGCCACTGTGCAGTTGACGTGACTGTCTTGACACTGCCGGGCAGCTATCGGGAGAAGATCTGCGAGCTCAACAGGTCATTGATCAGTTTCACGTCGCTACGGAAACTGGACTTGTCGAACAACGCGCTGACTAACCTGGATGTAAGATCTGAACACAGCAGGGTTTTTTTGTTTTTGCTTTTGCTTTTTGTTATTTGAAAGAGAGTCGAACAGAAAACAAAATACTTTTAAAACTCAGCATGCAGAGAATGAGCGCACACGGCACACACCATATGTGCATGCAATGCCATTTATTTTTTTGGGCAAGAAAAAAAGCTACAGCAATGTACATGTACACCAGGAAGTTGTAGCACACACGGGGAGACGACACAAGCGACAGTAACGCTGAATTGGATTGGATTGGTTTATTTGATGTCGAAGAACAAACAGGCAGTGTTGCCTTATCACGTGAGATCGACTACAGGCACACAAAAATAAGGAAAAGGAAAAGATTTAAAGAAGAAAAAAGAAAAAATAGAGTAGGGTTTAAGACAGCTGAATCATTGCAGGTTTTGAACCCGGGCTGCCCATTACAGGTGCCTTTGGGGCAGAGCCGATCTACATACCGCCACATAATTATTTTTGGCATCGTAGACTGACTATTCTTCACCCGTCATGTAGTAATGACATCGACATGCTCTCATTAATTTTATTCTCACGAGTTGTTGTTGCTGTTGCTGCTGCTGCTGCTGTTTTTGTTGTTGTTGTTTTTGCTGCTGCTGCTGCTGCTACTGTTGTTGTTGTTGTTGTTGTTGTTGTTGTTGTTGTTGTTGTTGTTGTTGTTGTTGTTGTTGTTGTTGTTGTTGTTGTTGTTGTTGTTGTTGTTGTTGTTGTTGTTGTTGTTGTTGTTGTTGTTGTTGTTGTTGTTGTTGTTGTTGTTGTTTTGCTTTCTTCCATGTGGACATGTGCACACACCATGTCACTGGCAAAGGGACTGGATCGACTGACGGCGCTGGAAACACTCAACCTGTATCCTCTTGGCTATGGATGCACACACGTACACGTAAACACACACACACGTACACCCATGCACACACACGTACACATAAACACACACACACGTACACCCATGCACACACACGTACACGTAAACACACACACATACACGTAAACACACACATGTACACGTGAACACACACATTCACGTAAACACACACACTTACACACATGCACACACGTACACGTAAACACACACACATGCACACACACACACGTACACACATGCACACACACACACACATACACGTACACACACGTACACGCACACGTAAACACACACACGCACACACACACACACAGATGTGCTTCTTCAGCAGGCACGAAGGCAAAGCTGGTCAACAAAGACCAGTCCCGGCAGTGGTGCAGAGAGCAACTTCAAATCTCTATTCTGAATCCTCTATTTGCATGATTATAGTTCCGATTTCAAGCCAAAGATCTGTGGACTTTGTATGTGTCGGTCCAAGGAACTACAAGTTACGCTATAATGTCCACTAACACCACCAGTTACTAAACAATCAGCTCATGCGATAACATTGCACGACACTGACCGACGGTACTGACGTTCGTTGTAGAACATCAGAGTACCCTCGGTCAGTGTCGTGCAACTTGTTATCGCATGAGCTGATTGTTTAGTAACTGGTGGTGTTAGTGGACACAATAGCGTAACTTGTAGTTCCTTGGTCGTTTTCTTCTTCTTTTCTATATACATGTAAACCATACAGGTACAGTAAGTCTTATCAGAGTATGTCCCAGGTAGACTAGAGTATGTCCCAGGTAGACTAGAGTATGTCCCAGGTAGACTAGAGTATGTCTCAGGTAGACTAGAGTATGTCCCAGGTAGACTAGAGTATGTCCCAGGTAGACTAGAGTATGTCCCAGGTAGACTAGAGTATGTCCCAGGTAGACTAGAGTATGTCCCAGGTAGACTAGAGTATGTCCCAGGTAGACTAGAGTATGTCCCAGGTAGACTAGAGTATGTCCCAGGTAGACTAGAGTATGTCCCAGGTAGACTAGAGTATGTCCCAGGTAGACTAGAGTATGTCCCAGGTAGGACTAGAGTATGTCCCAGGTAGACTAGAGTATGTCCCAGGTAGACTAGAGTATGTCCCAGGTAGACTAGAGTATGTCCCAGGTAGACTAGAGTATGTCCCAGGTAGGACTAGAGTATGTCCCAGGTAGACTAGAGTATGTCCCAGGTAGACTAGAGTATGTCCCAGGTAGACTAGAGTATGTCCCAGGTAGACTAGAGTATGTCCCAGGTAGGACTAGAGTATGTCCCAGGTAGACTAGAGTATGTCCCAGGTAGACTAGAGTATGTCCCAGGTAGACTAGAGTATGTCCCAGGTAGACTAGAGTATGTCCCAGGTAGACTAGAGTATGTCCCAGGTAGGACTAGAGTATGTCCCAGGTAGACTAGAGTATGTCCCAGGTAGACTAGAGTATGTCCCAGGTAGACTAGAGTATGTCCCAGGTAGACTAGAGTATGTCCCAGGTAGACTAGAGTATGTCCCAGGTAGACTAGAGTATGTCCCAGGTAGACTAGAGTATGTCCCAGGTAGACTAGAGTATGTCCCAGGTAGACTAGAGTATGTCCCAGGTAGACTAGAGTATGTCCCAGGTAGACTAGAGTATGTCCCAGGTAGACTAGAGTATGTCCCAGGTAGACTAGAGTATGTCCCAGGTAGACTAGAGTATGTCCCAGGTAGACTAGAGTATGTCCCAGGTAGACTAGAGTATGTCCCAGGTAGGACTAGAGTATGTCCCAGGTAGACTAGAGTATGTCCCAGGTAGACTAGAGTATGTCCCAGGTAGACTAGAGTATGTCCCAGGTAGACTAGAGTATGTCCCAGGTAGGACTAGAGTATGTCCCAGGTAGACTAGAGTATGTCCCAGGTAGACTAGAGTATGTCCCAGGTAGACTAGAGTATGTCCCAGGTAGACTAGAGTATGTCCCAGGTAGACTAGAGTATGTCCCAGGTAGGACTAGAGTATGTCCCAGGTAGACTAGAGTATGTCCCAGGTAGACTAGAGTATGTCCCAGGTAGACTAGAGTATGTCCCAGGTAGACTAGAGTATGTCCCAGGTAGACTAGAGTATGTCCCAGGTAGACTAGAGTATGTCCCAGGTAGACTAGAGTATGTCCCAGGTAGACTAGAGTATGTCCCAGGTAGACTAGAGTATGTCCCAGGTAGACTAGAGTATGTCCCAGGTAGACTAGAGTATGTCCCAGGTAGACTAGAGTATGTCCCAGGTAGACTAGAGTATGTCCCAGGTAGACTAGAGTATGTCCCAGGTAGACTAGAGTATGTCCCAGGTAGGACTAGAGTATGTCCCAGGTAGACTAGAGTATGTCCCAGGTAGACTAGAGTATGTCCCAGGTAGACTAGAGTATGTCCCAGGTAGACTAGAGTATGTCCCAGGTAGACTAGAGTATGTCCCAGGTAGACTAGAGTATGTCCCAGGTAGACTAGAGTATGTCCCAGGTAGACTAGAGTATGTCCCAGGTAGACTAGAGTATGTCCCAGGTAGACTAGAGTATGTCCCAGGTAGACTAGAGTATGTCCCAGGTAGGACTAGAGTATGTCCCAGGTAGACTAGAGTATGTCCCAGGTAGGACTAGAGTATGTCCCAGGTAGACTAGAGTATGTCCCAGGTAGACTAGAGTATGTCCCAGGTAGACTAGAGTATGTCCCAGGTAGACTAGAGTATGTCCCAGGTAGACTAGAGTATGTCCCAGGTAGACTAGAGTATGTCCCAGGTAGACTAGAGTATGTCCCAGGTAGACTAGAGTATGTCCCAGGTAGACTAGAGTATGTCCCAGGTAGACTAGAGTATGTCCCAGGTAGACTAGAGTATGTCCCAGGTAGACTAGAGTATGTCCCAGGTAGACTAGAGTATGTCCCAGGTAGGACTAGAGTATGTCCCAGGTAGACTAGAGTATGTCCCAGGTAGACTAGAGTATGTCCCAGGTAGACTAGAGTATGTCCCAGGTAGACTAGAGTATGTCCCAGGTAGGACTAGAGTATGTCCCAGGTAGACTAGAGTATGTCCCAGGTAGACTAGAGTATGTCCCAGGTAGACTAGAGTATGTCCCAGGTAGACTAGAGTATGTCCCAGGTAGGACTAGAGTATGTCCCAGGTAGACTAGAGTATGTCCCAGGTAGACTAGAGTATGTCCCAGGTAGACTAGAGTATGTCCCAGGTAGACTAGAGTATGTCCCAGGTAGACTAGAGTATGTCCCAGGTAGGACTAGAGTATGTCCCAGGTAGACTAGAGTATGTCCCAGGTAGACTAGAGTATGTCCCAGGTAGACTAGAGTATGTCCCAGGTAGACTAGAGTATGTCCCAGGTAGACTAGAGTATGTCCCAGGTAGACTAGAGTATGTCCCAGGTAGACTAGAGTATGTCCCAGGTAGACTAGAGTATGTCCCAGGTAGACTAGAGTATGTCCCAGGTAGACTAGAGTATGTCCCAGGTAGACTAGAGTATGTCCCAGGTAGACTAGAGTATGTCCCAGGTAGACTAGAGTATGTCCCAGGTAGACTAGAGTATGTCCCAGGTAGACTAGAGTATGTCCCAGGTAGACTAGAGTATGTCCCAGGTAGACTAGAGTATGTCCCAGGTAGGACTAGAGTATGTCCCAGGTAGACTAGAGTATGTCCCAGGTAGACTAGAGTATGTCCCAGGTAGACTAGAGTATGTCCCAGGTAGACTAGAGTATGTCCCAGGTAGGACTAGAGTATGTCCCAGGTAGACTAGAGTATGTCCCAGGTAGACTAGAGTATGTCCCAGGTAGACTAGAGTATGTCCCAGGTAGACTAGAGTATGTCCCAGGTAGACTAGAGTATGTCCCAGGTAGGACTAGAGTATGTCCCAGGTAGACTAGAGTATGTCCCAGGTAGACTAGAGTATGTCCCAGGTAGACTAGAGTATGTCCCAGGTAGACTAGAGTATGTCCCAGGTAGACTAGAGTATGTCCCAGGTAGACTAGAGTATGTCCCAGGTAGACTAGAGTATGTCCCAGGTAGACTAGAGTATGTCCCAGGTAGACTAGAGTATGTCCCAGGTAGACTAGAGTATGTCCCAGGTAGACTAGAGTATGTCCCAGGTAGACTAGAGTATGTCCCAGGTAGACTAGAGTATGTCCCAGGTAGACTAGAGTATGTCCCAGGTAGACTAGAGTATGTCCCAGGTAGGACTAGAGTATGTCCCAGGTAGACTAGAGTATGTCCCAGGTAGACTAGAGTATGTCCCAGGTAGACTAGAGTATGTCCCAGGTAGACTAGAGTATGTCCCAGGTAGACTAGAGTATGTCCCAGGTAGACTAGAGTATGTCCCAGGTAGACTAGAGTATGTCCCAGGTAGACTAGAGTATGTCCCAGGTAGACTAGAGTATGTCCCAGGTAGACTAGAGTATGTCCCAGGTAGACTAGAGTATGTCCCAGGTAGGACTAGAGTATGTCCCAGGTAGACTAGAGTATGTCCCAGGTAGGACTAGAGTATGTCCCAGGTAGACTAGAGTATGTCCCAGGTAGACTAGAGTATGTCCCAGGTAGGACTAGAGTATGTCCCAGGTAGACTAGTACTAGTAGTACTCTAAGGGAGTTCTACTGTACATGTAGTTACAATCCATTTCAAAAATATAGATGCATGGTATTTCAAATTTAGCTGGAGCTTTTTGAGATTTTTTTCGGAATATTGCTCAGGTCCTTCCTGCAATTACTCTCATATCGAGCAAACGTCCAATTTCGAAAATTTGTATGCACAAAGTGATCACAGATTTTATGTGGTATAGATGCTGGCCTAACGGTTTTTTGAAATCATAGGTCTATATTTTTGAAACGCACTGTAGAATTTAATATTATTATTATTATCCTTGACTAGAGACTCACGGCCGACGGTTGTGTACTCTATCAGCTACAACAACAGCATCTGTGACATTCGCCACATACACACACTGAAACACAACACAAGCCTGCAGGTAAGATTACTGTTAACCACCCGGTATTTGCGTCGCTAAATTTTTCGCGATTTCTCAGAACCGGCGAGTTTACGACGGGAAATTTTCGCGGAATACTGCGGCCACACACATACACCCACTGTTTCAAGTTATGCTCTTCTCGCAAAATTAGCAAACATTAATACGTCGCAAACACTAGGCAGTTTACAGTAATTGAATAACAATTAACCCCGTGAATGATAACCTTGGGTATAACAACGACTCGCGAATGACGACACCATCTTCAAACCTAGTGACCATTACGGTTGTAGCTTTCAAACTCGCGAATGACGACAACTCTAGTCGTTTCTTCGTTCTCGTTCTCCCTGCATGCAACTTTGTTATCATTCTTGTTCTTATTTTTGTCTCGAGCCGGGTTTGTGTTCTTTGTAGAAGAAAAAAAATCTCGCAAAAGTAATGACACTATCCTCATGCGCACTCCAGGGTTGTTATTCACTAGGTTGCCTGTATGTAGTAGGCATGCTGCTGACAGCCATGCATGCTCAGTGTTTCCATGGTTACTGTGAGTTATGCATGGTTTAAAACCCCAGCGTTGCGAAGTTTAAGCACAAAGGGGCCACGGGTGTGCGTGCGTGCGTGCTTGTGTGTGTGTGTGTGTGTGTGTGTGTGTGTGTGTGTGTGTGTGTGTGTGTGTGTGTGTGTGTGTGTGTGTGTGTGTGTGTGTGTGTGTGTGTGTGTGTGTGTGTGTGTGATCCCCGGTAGCCTAATCGGTAGGGCACTATCCCGGCAAAACAGAGATGCCGGGTGTGGATCCCGCTCGTGGATCCTTCTTTAGGAACACTTGGTACACATGGTGTCATAGCAACATCCTCTGGTTTTTCTGTCATAAGCATATACTGAAATCATCAAACTCCGTCAAGTCTCTGCGTTGCTGTTTTCTGCGCACGTTGTCTGCAGGACCTGGACTTTCGGCTCAACCCGGTGACAACCAACGAGACATGCTACCGTCTCCTGGTCGTGCACCTGCTGCCAAGACTGAGAGTGCTAGGTAGATCTACTGAGGGTGCCTTTTTATTTATTTATTTTTTAACACGGGCAAAATACCCACAATGAATAGGTACTACAGTGCTGACAACTGAAATCCGACCCCCTGGCCTGAGCGACGCGCTCACATTGGAAAGACCCAACACGGGATCGGGTAAAACTACGGAACAGAGGCCGCTAGAATGTGAACCCACCGCTCAGGGGGTCGGATTTCGGTTGCCAGCACTGTACATGTACGAGTATAGAGTGTAGATGCTGCCGGAGCGTGCTACAGTCCATTCAGAAAAAGATGAGCGCTGGCTCTGGAGAGCTCCCGTGTTTGGTGATTTTGCCAGTGCCGCGAGATTCGAAACTTGAAAAAGGGTCCAAAAAAGGTACCTCAACTGGGGTTTGAACCGCAAATGTACTGTTCTGCAAGTGGAGTGCACGGGTTGGATTTTCATGGCTTTTACCCAATTCAGTGCTTCGGGGGCAAACCCTGGCCGAAATCCTATTCTTGTTATAGCTTGCTCTTTGGAGAAATAGACTTCAAAAACACAATTGGAAGAGCATTCCATGGGGGATTGCCAGCAAAATTGTGACAAAAACTCAAAATTTGACCCATTTATGGCCAAAAGCTAGGATATCATCTTTTTTCTGAATGGACTGTAGGTAATAAGTGTGTTGTATTCACGGTACTGTGTTTTTTTGTTTTTTGTTTTTTTAAGAAACGAGACGAGGAAAAAGACAAACACGTAGGGGATGTACGTGGGGACGACGTGCCGATGTGCTGGGAGCAACTCGGCCGACTAGAGGTCTCGGCGTCAGCGTAGCAACTAGGCATGAGTGCTGCAGCGCCGTACGCCAGTACTCGTATGCTGAAACCTGTCGACCAGCACTGTACATCGGATATACCTTAGGCTGCGTTTACCCCACAACGCTGGGGATGAAAACGCAACCAAATCCTTTCGGATCCACGGTTCATTTACACGGTGCACGGAGCAAAACGGAAAAGTTGTACGCCACGATGGAAGAAAACCAACGCTGGGCCAAGGCGGAAGAATTTGAAAACGTATGACTGTGTGAACAGTCGAAACGATGTGCTGGGCCTCGTTACCGTCACGCGGATCCGACAATCCCAAAAATCGTTTTCAATGTTCGTCATGTGAGAAGTGTTGTCAGTGTGGGCTGTTTTCAACTTGTGATTGGTGCTTCCACGACAACATTTGGCACATGACGAACTTTGGTTGATCCTTTGCTCCCGTGTAGATGTGCGAAAAAGATACAAACGGAGACCACCTCGGATCAGGTTTGATTGTGTAAACGCCCGAAAACGAAAAAACAAAATGCTGGATCGAAAACAGAAAACTGGCCGTGCGTTGCCGTGTAAACGCAGCCTTAGCCAGCAATCTTCTCGCTCGTGTCTAACCAGCTAATAGGCCATTCACACGACGTGCAAACATTTGCACGCGTGTGATCAAGATAACACTGGCAAACCGTGATCCAGTTTACACGGTGCTGGGCAAATTTTGCAACCGTCAATGTATCCATAGTGACCCCCTGAAAATGCCGGGAAATGTTAAATTTTGAATTTTCCTTTGTTCAATCACTGCATTTGCAGTACGCACTTTCAACAACCGACACTTTTCCTGGCGTGCAAAGATAATCGCGAGCAAAAGGGCCTCGGCCAAGATAAAACATCAGTTGCACGCGTGAGTCCAAGTTTATCGTATCCGAGTAAAAATCCTTGGAGACAGTACGATAAAAGTGAGTTTGCACGTCGTGTGAATGGCCTATAACTGTCCCGTTGGTAGGTGATGACAAAAAGAAGAAAAAGATGCACCTCCGACGGGATTCGAACCCGCAACCCCCGGCTTAGGAGGCCGATGCCATATCCATTAGGCTACGGAGGCCTGCATATCGACTGACTATGTTCAGTTGCAACCAATGTTGGCCTACAGGACATCACATGATCACGTGGCCACTGGCCTAGCAGTACACTTCTTACCAGGGAGTAGTACAATACCAAAATATGGTATTGTACTACTCCCTGCTTCTTACGGTGTAGGCAAGGACTTGTGGAAAACTGAGGAGTGAAATAAATTAATTCTGTCAGTTTCTGAAAGCGAATGCATCATCCACCCCAACACTGCCTAATAAGGTAACCAAACTCAGATGTTTTTTTGTATGTGTTCAAACCCAGCCCTTGTGCCAAGTTGTGGTGCATGTATATGTACGTGTATAAGCATTCTGAGTACTACTGGACAGGACCACCATGCCTGTTTCCTTTCTGTGTGTCCATGCTGAAGATAAACGATCTGTTGGTAAGGATCGCCAAGCTGCATTGCAACACTTTGCCACCGATCAGGTGAGAATGATGTCATTGAGTGCACTGTTGGTGTACTCATTACATCATGATTACATCATGGGCTGTAGCATGATAGCCCTGTATTAATGAATCATGGACTGATGGTTCATGTCGTTATATAGATATAGTCGAGTTAGTGGAAGCAATCTCAGCAGTATTGGTAAGAAAGTTGCGGGTTGCTTGCAACATTCGAGCTAGCAATTTCCCTCCAATTTGACAATTCATAGACTACACTGACTGCTATACAGAGCAAGTGAGAAGTCCTGGACGGCGGCCTGCGGCTCGGCAAACCTGCAAGAAAAGTACCCGCAATCCTTGCTCAAAACACCGCTATTACACTGTGTGACTTGTGACGTGTAAATTACCCCATCAACTAAACTGTGACGGAGACAAAACGTGCACAAAGTCGTTGACTGTACACAGCCGGGTCAGCATGTGCAATACCTTGTCATTTTAGTTGTTATGGCAGTCAAATAATGGTTACTTTCTTTGCAAGAAAGACTACCTCTTATACGCCTGGTGACCCTACCTAAAAACTATACCAAAATTAATTGAAGAGGAGACATCACTCCACCATTCTATGCATAAAAAGCAGGGTGTCCATGGACTTTATTTTTACTCCTGTAGGTGGGAGCCTCCTTAAGCTGACTATTGAGTCTTACGACTGGGTGTGCATATAAGTTACATGTATGTACCGACTGTCATCCAGCCAATACTGATTTGCACTTGTTTTTTTGTTTTTTTTTGTTTTTTGTTTTTTTGCCATGGCTGGCTATAATTGCCCTCACCTCCTCCTTGATTGACCTTGGCCATGAGTTGGTGCATAATAATAATAATATACATGTGTGCACTGTCATCCCGCTCTACCCTGCAGGCTAGTCCGACTGCTCTTGCCCAGCTGGCCGACGACGTCGCAGTGACCGTAGCGATGCCACACCAACCGCCGCCACCGCCCAGCACATCAGTGCGGGACCCGGCTACGCGACTGGTCCGCAGCGACCAAGGTGCACAGTAAGCCATGCACCACCACGGCGCTGACCAGCAACAGGGTTCAGACCGTTAGCCAGGTCAAATTAGTGGGGGGGGGGGAGTTACCCTGTAATGCATTTTTCCATTTTCCAAAATTGTCTTGCCCTGTAGCATGCAAAATGCAACATACGGGGGCAAACCCACGACTTCACACAGCAACATTCGGCGTTGCCAGTCCACGGCCCGGAGCTACCTTATTCACAAGGTTGGATTTCTCTGGCCAGCACTGAACTTGCAACTGTCAGTGTACAGTGCAACTGACACTGAAGATGCAGGTACAGTGCACTACTAGTAACCTGCACAGATATAGATATTGGCAGACAAGCGAATAATCCTGATCGCTGAGATTACGTTGCATTGCCACCGTCCCAATGTACATGTACTTGACGGTTTGGTCTGCATCTGGTCTTGCCACAGAACAACTGCGTCACGCCGACGCTTGGTGGAGTCGCTCGCCTCTCATCCCACCGGTAAGCCAGGATTGCAGCGGTAATGCAGTGCTATTTGCTACACTGGGAGTCATGGTGACACAGAGCTGGGAGTCATGGTAACATAGAGCTGGGAATTATGGTAATACAGAACTGGGAATTATGGAGACACAGAACTGTAACTGATCGTCTGTGCAAGCATGTACATAATCAGACCAGGGCCTGACTGGATGGCAGAAATTGCTCATTTTGGATCATTCCCAACCATAGCACCTGCATGCACAGACGGTCGCTCCCAGTGCTTCTGTTCTACTCCGAGCTGTGCAGTGAAGGCAATTCTGAGCTTTCGCTGTGGCATGTACAACTTACCCTGGTATTTTCTCCACTGCCGTGTACATGGTCTAGCCCTGGATGAAGACATTACGTCGCTGGTCGACCGCGTACAGCAGTGCGGCGGAGATCTGACCCGACCACTGGCAAGGACAGGGAATGTTGCTGATCATCCCACCGCGGTCGTTGAAATACCGATACAGGGTGAGCGGAAGGTTCATTTATGCACCCAGTCTTGGACTGTTAAGCTATGTTGCCATTGGAGCTTCTGAGAGAGAGAGAAAAGGAAGAAAGTTAGAGAGGGAGAGAGAGAAAGAAAGAGAGAGAGAGAGAAATGGAGAGAGGCCTTTTATAGTCTTGTTCGATAACGATGCAAATCGCAGATAAAGAAAACACTGAAAACTGACGACCAGGCATGTATTGATGTCGTTTTTCTTGGTCTATGTGTTTAGATCGTGCATCGCCACCCTCGGCTACACTGCCAGAACAACCGTCCACACGACTAGCCGCTCATCGCCAGTGTACAGAGCCAGAGCCACCATCGGCCACAGCAAACACAGGTATTAATCACCAGCACGGCCGTCGTCAGCTGATCCGCTACAATGCCGACAACGCGGCTGCCCCGTACCACGTGACGGGGCACGCTACACTGCAACCTCGGCATGTGCCGCTGCCGACCACCGTATCCCCGGACGACCAGCAGGACATGGTGGAGCATCGACCAAGAACGGTAAGAACTCTACACCTGCAATGCATAGATCTAGACAAGGAATCCAGTCACCGTATAGGACGTTTACCCCAGCAGCAATGCACAGATCTAGACAAGGAATCCAGTCACCGAATAGGACGTTTGCCCCAGCAGCAATGCACAGATCTAGACAAGGAATCCAGTCACCGAATAGGACGTTTGCCCCAGCAGCAATGCACAGATCTAGACAAGGAATCCAGTCACCGAATAGGACGTTTGCGCCAGCAGCAATGCACAGATCTAGACAAGGAATCCAGTCACCGAATAGGACGTTTGCCCCAGCAGCAATGATATCATGTTCAAGCGCTTTTTGGTGGCCTTGCGTTCGCCTTCCGTGCAGCTTGTATCTGTCAGCCACCCAGTTTGAGTGGCGTTCTTGTGTTCTGATACTTGTTCTGAATGGACTCTTTTCCGTTCTTCTTCGCTCGTGTAATACTACTATACTACACTACTGGTATTGCTATTACAGTACCGTAAAGTACCGCCAGAGCGCCCCACCATCTCGTTTTTTCGCGGTCGTATTGTGGAGGTGGTGTCCTGTCTGTAGGTCATACGACACGAACCTTGTACACCCATGGCACTTTGTGCAGTCAATCCATACTCAATTTATCTTCGAGCGAACACGACCTCCACAAAAAACCTGCTAAGCGTGACCTTAGTACGCTAACGTTCTCACCGCACCGTACAAACTTTGTTGCACCCTGCCATACGATTTTCATTTCCCTGGTTGTAAAATGAAGGTGGGGCGCTCTCGCGAGACGAGGCACTCTCGCGGTACTTTAACCGTCAAACTAAAACCTGTCAAGGCAACCACTCTGATATGGCGACTACCTGTCTCAGAGGACAACTGCAGCTAAGACCAAGGGATGTTATTTACAGGCAAATCACCCTCGATAAGAGCCCACGTGTACACAGCGACCCCATTTGTAAGGATGATTTTATAAAGTTTATAAACACAAAGTGTACATTGTACTGTTGAGATACCGAATTCAAATAAATCAATACCATACCATACCAAAGTATCCTATAGAGGTAGGTGAATGACATCATCGTGTATGCTTGGAATGGAGTGGTAAACCAATGAATGACATCATCGTGTATGCTTGGAATGGAGTGGTAAACCAATGAATGACATCATCGTGTATGCTTGGAATGGAGTGGTAAACCAATGAATGACATCATCGTGTATGCTTGGAATGGAGTGGTAAACCAATGAATGACATCATCGTGTATGCTTTGAATGGAGTGGTAACTGGTAAGTGGTAAACCAATGAATGACATCATCGTGTATGCTTTGAATGGAGTGGTAATTTACTGGTAAACCAATGAATGACATCATCACGTATGCTTTGTTTTGAGTGGCAAACCAGTACTTATGATGTCACAGTTAATCACTTCGGCACTCCTGACCGAATTGAGCATCTCAAATGATGTATCCACTTTTTCTATTTTCCTCAATGTTCTATGTGAATGCGTTATTGTGCAGAAAACCTTGAACGAGGCACAGACAGCCGGTAGCGGAGATGCAATTGATCACCTGATTGCATCAATACGGCGACTGACACCAGGATCTACGAGGTCTATTGAAGGAGGGAAACAGCTACGTGGTACGTACACACGCAAACATGTTCAACTTAGCACTAATGCTAGCAAATGTCCTGGGCCCTTTAATGCATGTAAAATCCCAGTCAGTCTAGGTAGGTGGTGCTTTTAGTGTTCTACACAGGGCGGGGAATAAGACAAGGCAGCAAATGCCCCCCCCCCCCCAGCCTTAGTGCATGTAAAATCCCAGTCTGTCTGGACTCTAGGTAGGTGGTGCTTCTAGTGTTCTAAACAGGTTGCCGGGAATAAGACATGCTAGCAAATGTCCTCGGTGTAAACACGGTCTCGGCGGCTTAGCAGAATCAGCTTTCAAGTTCTAACAACAGTGTTCTCACCGTCGGAGGCATGGCCACACCAGCAGAGCCACACTCACGGTGGGGCCGCAGTCATAGGTATCATGCTGCGCTGGAAATACTCCAAATGTTCTGCAAATCGTTGCTACCATCCTAGACCACTAATATACCGCGCTATAGTCGGCATCGAGGTTACGCCAATAATCGATGTCATGGTGGTGAACTAGCCGATTCACCTATGAGTGCTAAGTATATGGCGTGCGTGGGTGCAGGGGCGTCAGACACGGCACGGTAGCTAAGGTATTGACCGTACCACTTGTTGCCCTGTGAATCTATAAAGTACACTGATCAAGACTCTAAATTTCCAAAAAATGCCAGCTCAGCAACCCCCCCCCCCCCCCTCCCCTCCCCTGAGTATATTGTATGTCAGATGGCTGACCACACCACACTAAAATACCTTCCAATGCCCCTGAGGCGGATTCACTTCTTGGAGTTAAAAGTACTGTAGAACGGCTAATTGTAGCGGGTATAATGTTTAGCGTTTTCTGAATCAGGGTCAACCCGCGATGAACTATTTTAGCGATCCAAGTTTCAGAATTTAAAGAGAAGAATGATTAGTACTGCACTGTATAAGCAAAATTCTAGCGAAAACACTACTTTTGCCAAAATCGCTAAAATATCACTGTCGCTAAAAAATAGCTGTTTTACAGCATACAGCTTGAGTCAATGGTCCCGCTTGACCTAGTGCACTGCTGTGACGCGACTTTGCCAAAGCATCTCTGATGACTCTTGATGATGTAATCGCATAACCATCGCATAGCCTCTATGGAATCAGGTGCCGAGCGCAGCATGACCTCATTTTGACACGTGTCATAGGAACATCAATCCGGTCGGTTGTTATCACCCCCCCCCCCCCCATTTGTACCCGCGAAGTGCATGGAAAACCCTGGCTAGGTACTAGGTACAGTCAACTTCGCTAATAACGACTGCGGATATAACAACAATTCGCGAATAACGACAGAATTTCCATGCCCAGAGCAAAGTCCCATCCAACTGTAAGGCCATCATTTTTTATATCTATGTTTCGCGTCAGTTCAACTTCCAGAATCATATGCGAGAGGTGGAAAAAAATAAAAAAAAGTTGCAAAATAATAAAAAGGCTCATTAGAAGTGTATGCACTGTACACAGCACAATAGCTTGTGCATGGTGTACATTCGAAAGAAAAATCGTGCATCGAAGCACAACATCTGGGTTATGAGCATGAGTAAATATTTACTTTGGTCAGAGGAGGCAACCGTTGGTGCCTATGCTTCGCTGGATTATTGTACATGTACTCAGCCTTCAGCAGCGGTGCAAAGAGCTCCGGAACGACGCATCCTCTCAGCTTGAGGCGATCAATGCGGTTTGGTGTAAGCTCATAGAATATTGCTCCCAGATGCCAAACAAACGATTTACCAACGATGGCCTAAGGGCCATTTTTGAATCCCAGCTTCGCCGTATGGAACCAGTCCACACTGATGACTCGAACGATCGTACACTCACTGTGCATGTTCGATTTTTTATTTTTTTCTGAAAAAAATAAAAACGTATGCGTGCGGACGACGCGAAACATAGCTATAAAAAATGATGGCCTAATACATATAATGAGACTTCGGGTATAACGACACTTCGCGAATAAGGACACTTTTCTGATGCCCCGCCGAGTGTCGTTATACGCAAAGTTGACTGTAGTGCCTCTAAACAGATCGGGGGATAAGCCATGTTGAGTAATAGTACAGTACATGGGCTGGTACGGTGGCTACGGCCATGGTCGTATCAGTTTTTTTTACAAATTCCAGCTTTGCATGGAATGTCCGGCGTGCACTTTGTTATGTGGACGTGCTACTGGGCTTTCCTTCGACACTCCTCACTAGAATAGTGAGGATTACTATGCCAGTTGTATATCTGTTACTTGTAGCGGAATTTGTACTTACTTGTAGCGGAATTTGTACTTACTTGTAGCGGAATTTGTGCTTACTTGTAGCGGAATTTGTACTCGGAGCTGAAACAACCAGATGTGAATATGATTCGGCACAGGGACACATAATCACATATGTCATACCCGTATACCTCCTCCCATGACACTGAAATCGGGCTTGTTACAAATGAATGATGGACCCTGTAGCCGATCTGGGGCCATACCGTACCACCCCGCAGGAGCTGGCTCCAGGCCGGTATTATCTCCAATCAAATGACTGGTTAGGCCCTCTTCAGGCTAGGTACAAAACAGCCTATATTGAAGTCACATTTACATAGAAGTTTCCAAGACAACAACAAGAACCTGGCGGGAAGCCTAAAAAGCTGCCCAATCCTTTCCGGCAGGGTGCGAACCCCTGTACAAGGCAACTTTCCTGCATTTATCGTACTTTCACCAGGCAGTCGTACAAACTTTTTACCCGGGTACGACTTTCCTCTGCTTTCATGCATCCCATGCCCATTGCGCAATTGCGTAGGGTCAAAGGTTGCCTGTATATTGCATGTAGAATGTGTAGTCTGAATGCAGGCATGGAAAAATGTTGCCTTTTAGTATATAGGTTTTATGTGATTTTGTACTGGATGTTCTATGTATGTAGTCTGATGAGGGCCTAAGGAGACCACTTGTAGACGGAGGCCACATTTGGAAGGTCCCTTGAGCGGTCGCCTTGACAGGTTTCACTGGACAGGTATATCAAAAGCCTCTTAGTCCCTCTTAGTCCCTGGCTAGTAAGGAAGCTAGAAGATCATGTGACAGTGGTGGCATGTCGCGGTACTGCAGTGTAGCATGCAACAGCGTGCCGACACGTTGAGTTCACTCAGTGACTGCGTTTTGTTGTCCTCTCTATGCCGCTGGTTTTGCTGCCTCTTCACTTCTTTGTCAAAAAACCCTGCCTGGGTGCAACAACCCCTGCCTGGGTGCAACAACAACAACAACAGCTGAAGTAGTCTCAATGCTACACAGCCCCGATGTCTGGAGGACACTGGTGCGAGAACGCCAGCAGCAGCAGCAGCACGATAGCAGCAAGACTCGGCAGCAACACTTTAGCAGTGGCGGTGACGCCCAGCAACAAGTCGGCACCAGTTACCATGGTAACCAATGTGATCACCATGGTAACGGTGCTGGTGACCCTGCTTCAGGTCAGCCCCCTAGTGACCAACAGCAGCAGGCGGCGGAGGAGGAGCGGCCGTGTCGGCGCTGCTCCAGACTGCAAGAACAGACGGTGAGAAGCTGAGAATGTACACGTACACGTGCATCTACACATTCTACAGTGTGTTTCATATCGTCACATCTCTAGCTATAAGTGGCCACATTCGGCTTGGTGTGATTCCTTAAATTTCCTTTATTCCTTATTTGACAATGCACCCTTGCTCCCATACCCCTTACTCAGTTGTGTAATACATTTCAAGTAGTACATGTACATGTAGATGTTGATGTAGATGGTCGAGTTTTCACTCACAAAGCAATTGTTCAGTACATGGGGTAGTGGTCTACCAGAGCAATCACACTCACCACCGTAGTGATTTTCCAGAAATCAGTAGAAGCAAAAACCACACTCGCAGCCACATAATAGATAAATAGCCGAAAGCATCTAAATCCATCAAAGAACCGCCAGCAAGCGGGAGAAAAGGCTGTAAAATCAAGTGAAACAGCATGGCCAGTGGTGAGCATGGATGACTGGGCAGCAGGGGAGCGCCTGAAAACAATGACTCCCTACATTCCTAGCCGCGACCGCACAGCCGGGCTAGAGGAAAAACACGCCTTTCGGCCAAAAAAACTTTCTATTTCATTAATTCCTGCCCCGCTGCCAGTCGGACCCAAGAATAGAGACTACAAGACAGTGTATGTAATAACCGGTGCATGTCCTAATCATAAGCCACACACATTGGCATAGAATATCAAGAAGAACAGCGGAAGACCCCCATGAAACCAGGGTGGGTGGGCGGGCAACTTCAACTACCACGAGGAAAAACAAAGACCACGATGGCAGGTTCAACGGAGTTGCGCAGAACAAGAGCAAACGCACGAAAATATTTGTGAGTGAAAAATACGTTTTTTGCACTCTTTCGCTACGCTCAGCCATGAAAAAAAAACTTTTGCATCTATAGTCTGTGTACGTCCGGAATACTAGTACCTGTCAGCACGCGCGCGTTCATTTGCGGCAGTGAGCATGTGCAAGTAAGTGTGTGTGCATGTGTATGTCTGTGTATGTGTGTGTTTGTGTGTGTGTATGCGTGTTGTTATTGTCGTACTGTACGTGACAGGTAGCAATGGAGAAGACTGTGACCTTGCTCAAGCAGGATGTGCTAAATATGGTGGCAAGTGCCGAGACTGGAGAGCGAGGTCAGTTGAACTTACTGTGATGTCATCATTGCTCACATTAAAATGATCAATGTTCAACTGTATGCATGCAATCAGATGTTTAAAGTCCTGCGGGCTTTGAAAGCCCATGTTGGCCTATTTAGGCTCAGATCTCACTTAAAAAAAGTGTTTTGTGGGGTTTGTACTTGTTTGTACGTTATCACAGCGCTGGCAGATGCCCGGACGAAGATACACAAGCTCAAACAGAAGCTCAAGCACAGCAGATCGACAATGGCCGAGTCGCATGCGGCGCACCAGCAGCTTCCCGGCCTTCAACAAACCATCGCTGCGCTGCAGGAGTGCCAAAGGTGCGTAGGCAATTGAAAACGAAGGGCGACTTTATATTTGCGTTCGGCCCTACTGTTAAAGGGGAAGTTAAGGCAAAAATTAAAATTTCACCAGTTGTAGTCTTCGGGGTGCTGAGTCGAATGGTCTTGGTCCGAGAAAGCTGAGACGCTCCCTTCCTACTTGAATCCCAATCGAACTCGCGCACTTCCACCGAAACTGGGTGACTGCGCCCTACTAGATGGGGATTTGTATGCAAAATGTCACTAAAAGCGCCATTTCGTTCTTATAAAAGCACGGATGACCGCGATTGGCCCATATGTTGTAGTCTTTTGGACGCTGAGTCGACTGGTTTTGGTCCGAAAAGGCTGCGATGCAGCGTTCCTCCTTTATTCCCAATCGAACGTGGTTGAAGAAGCGGTCACGTGCTCCTGGGTGCCCAAATCACCTGGTCACCACGCCAGCAGGCGACAACTTTCACACCAAGGTTCAACTCGAGTGACAGGACTGCACCCAAAAAAGATCAAACAGGCTAGTAAGTTGTACCCTGCAGGCACGGTGACCAGGTGACTGGCGTACGCAGCAGCACGTGACCGCTTGTTCAACCATGTTCGATTGGGAATAAAGGAGGAACGCTGCATCGCAGCCTTTTCGGACCAAAACCAGTCGACTCAGCGTCCAAAAGACTACAACATATGGGCCAATCGCGGTCATCCGTGCTTTTATAAGAACGAAATGGCACTTTTAGTGACATTTTGCATACAAATCCCCATCTAGTAGGGCGCAGTCACCCAGTTTCGGTGGAAGTGCGCGAGTTCGATTGGGATTCAAGTAGGAAGGGAGCGTCTCAGCTTCCTCGGACCACGACCATTCGACTCAGCACCCCAAAGACTACAACTGGTGAAATTTTAATTTTTGCCTTAACTTCCCCTTTAATTGGTGGTGTGATGAACCGGACTCGTTACATGCATCCACTGTAGCGTCCTTGCTTGCTGGCAATCCCAAGTGCAATCCCAAGTGCAATCCCAAGTGTATTTCCTGAGCATGGACTGAAACGGTTACTAGTTCGTAACGACATAATTATGTGTGTGCACGTCACTTGTTCGAGGGAGCTGGAAAGTGGAGTCACAAGAAAAAGATCGGCTACCACCAGTAGGACTTGAAGTATGGACCTAGTATACCGGTAGACAGTGTTGACGGAATCTGACCACCGAGTGCATTTGAAGAGCTGAGATGCAAAACACGCTACATCCATTTCATCACTTTTCGGATAATACCCCAAAAAAGGATTCATTTTATGTGCGGTGTGTATCTAAATCCAAATTTGGGTTCCAGTTTTGAAATGGTTCTAGTCAGATTTTGAATTTTGAATGTGAAATTTCGCCTGGTGGTGCCTCTCAACCTTTTGATTACACTGAGCTGAAAATCACACTTTCGCGAATTTGACGTTTATCGAGTTTTGCATCTCAGCTCTTCATTTTTCTTGTGGTCTTTTCTCTCTTGACCTATGTATATGTACACTGGCAGTGCGGTGGTGAGTTGTAATGACCGGCTACTTCAGGAGAACGAGGACCTGCGCGAGCAGCACCGGGTGGAGATGGACGAACTGCACTGGAGTTACCAGAGACAGCTGCGCGTGCTGAAGAAGACGGCATCGGCATCGTCGGCGGCGGAGAGATCGACGTCACCACCGTCGTCATCCTCGGCAACATCTGGCCAGCACTGACGATCACATGCACAAAGCCATTGGCCTATACCGGAATGTGCCAGCAAGACCACTACGAGCAGCAATCTGGCTACACATGAGCAGTGCTCTGTGTGCGAGGCCACACATGAACAGTGCTACAGCGTAGATCTATGAGGCTACACATGAACAGTGTTCTGATGTGGGGCTACACATTACTAGGCACTCAGTGCCCTGCGTGTGGTGACACACGTGAACAGTACCCTGTGTCATCCTCGGCAGCATCTGGCCAGCACTGACGATTGCATGCTCAAAACCACTGGCCTGACTACAGCGGAATGTGCCAGCAAGACCTCCACCACCATCGCCACCACCGGTAGCAACCTGGCTAGACATACACAGTGTTCTGCGTGTGAGGCTACACTTGAACAGTGTCCCGGTGTGTGGGGACACCACGAACGGCAACCCGGTGTGTGAGGGTACATACAAACGGTGGCCGATGTACAAACCTACTTCGAAGTACACGTGAACAGTGCTACAGCGTATGAGGCTAGACGTGAACAGTGCTACAGCGTATGAGGCTAGACATGAACAGTGCTACAGCGTATGAGGCCACACATGAACAGCGTTCTGATGTAGGGCTACACGTTAACAGTACCCCGGCGTGTGGCGCTCGCTACTCAGGGCTCTTCTATTGCACGTGCTGCCAGGCTGCAGACAGGAACTGACGCCCAGTGTTGACGGAATGGGCCAGGCCTCGTGACATGACGGCAATGAACTACTGTGCATGCAGTGCCGGTGCCGTACCGGGGGGCTAACACGAAACCAACGCACGTCAATCTACAATGTAAAATGTAAACTGTAGAATTGTACATGCAGTCATATCCAGGTCTCCACATCAGGTAAACCTACGCGACGCACACATGCAAGTTGCCTGAACACAAACGTTCTGCTCTATAGCTATTCAATTCACAACAGATGAACTCTGAGACTGAGGATTACTAAACTATGCTATTACATCATGCATTACATCATGCATAACATCATGCACCCTTGATATACTCGCATCATAATTATCTCTCTTATCCCGACAACCCGCCGCGCCGGGGCACCCTTTGAGCAAGCTTTATAGTGGAATTATTACTAGTCTTCTGCCACTTTCGTGAACATCACAGGCCGGCCCTATCATCTGGCCTTTCACCATCAAAAGTTCAATTCAAAACGCACGTGATTCGGAGTTACGGACACTTCAAAGTAAGTTGTGAGCAGTGCTCGGTCTCCGGCCTGCCTGGATAAACGAGATACGAGTGCTACTGTATTTTCCGGAGTATAAGCCGCACACTCGTAGTGGGAGGTATGCATCGAAGATGGCCGTCACCTTTTTGCGGGGCAACTTGCCCCATTTTTGGCAGGTACAACCTGTTCTTACATTAAATTTATGAGTATGACCTCACAAAGTTCATGACCTTTTATGCAGAGCTGGTATCACAGTGTGTAAGGTTGTAGTGGACTTGCCCCGCAACACCTAACGTATAACGGCGGGAATGGGTACATATTATGTCCCATTCACCCCCCCCCCCCCAAAAAAAGTCAACGGGGCTGTACTATCTGTCTGTACATGATTTGTACGCAACGTCTCATTGTTTATTTTACCAGGCGTGGGCCATCCCCTGATCATAGGTGCCAAACATTTTGCGTTTTTCATTCGTTTGAATAAAATCGAATCCAGACCCTAAAAAAATCGTAGCGTTTCTACCGAGAAATCGTAAAAATACTACTCTCTGTACTATGATGGCCAAATGAATGTTGTTATACAGGGTATGTCATGTTAGGTGTCTGTAGTTTGTGACAAACAAAATCTGGGTGCGGGTTATACACCAGTACAGTGCAGCTAACGTCATACTCCGGAATAGACGGTACTTGAAAATGTTGTGGAGCAGCTGGCACGCATGTACCGTGTGCTGGTGTGTGAATGCTTAGCATCAGCATGATCACATGCGCTCAGCAGGTCGCTATGGTTTTTTTCCATTGGCCCGGGAAGGGGGGGGGGGGGGGTCACCCATCTGCCCTAATCTGTAAGCCTGGCATATGGACATGATGCAATCGGTACGCCTCCTGTATATTTCTTGGGGTACGCCCCCCCCCCCCCCCCCCACACACACACACATACAGCCACACCGCAGTCTGCTCTTCATCGATGCGAGCAAGTCAACATCCAGCTCTGGCAACGGTATCTCAAGCTGCTCTTGAAACAGATTCTCAACAGGGCAAAAAAGCACTCGGAACAACATAGCACGATCAATGTAGATCATCAGAAGTAGTGTACGCACTAAAATAAAGCAGAACGCGGTCACATGACCATAACGAGTACAGAACCGAGTAATGAACCAACCAATCAACTGAACAAATCAGCTTTGCAACTCGACTACATACACAGCAAGTCAAACAATGACCCGGGGTTAAAACAGCGCAACACTTCACAGGACATCACCATTCGAAGATAGATTGTGTCGGTGGATAAAGTCAAACAAGGGAGATCGGATGTTTCGAAAAGAGGCAAATCGCCATAGTAAGGTGCCATGGTTAATGTCACGGATAACAAGTCGTGACACACTTGACCTACTGTACTCCAACCTGTGTAGTAGCGATTGAACTAATCAGTGCATGGCAAGTCTCCAACTCTGGCATTGGCAACACTGCAGACTTGCACCCACCCGGCACAGCACTGCACGCAGGCAGAGGGTACACACCGGCATGAGAATATCACACGACAAGCCATGTGTTGGTCCAATCTGCTAGATGTAAGCGTGCGTGACTGCACTCTCCCGCCAACCCAAGAAGCTCACACAGCTCGACAGTGTTCCATTCGCTAATCGGATGGCTTGAGGAACTTTCGCGGTCGCTCTGCGTCATCGGACGCGCTCTTTCTCTTCCGCTGGCTGTTGCCTCCCTGCCTGGCCTTCACATCATCAAGCTGGTCCTGACGTTCAGACTTCTTGAACTTCTTTGCAATGCTACCGACCAAATTCTCATACCTGAATCAATACACGCAAGCAGCAGCAGAAGCAGCAGCAAAGCGATCAACCAGAGTCAGTCTCCATTGCTGTTCGATGCTAACACTGTGTACAACAGACTATCTCTTAGTCCATTGTTCAGCTCTACAATAGGGTTAGATCAGCCACAGCGCACCTGTACACCTATGGACCTACGGACCCACACAAACACGTGTACACGCCCAGACGCACGGACACACACACACACACACACTGACACGCACTCGAACACTGACACATCACGCACATGTATGCATTCCATTCCACCAGTCCATCGGACACACACTTACCGATCGGCCATTTCCTCTTCAGTAACAGCCTGCTCGTTTTCACGCTTCATCGCCTCCTCCTCAACCTTGTTGTACTTCAACTGTCGGTAGAGTTTCTGTAGTAGCAGATTGATAACAAAACACTTGGTTTGTGGTCCGGTAGTTTCGTCTTGTGGGTCGTCTATAGAAAACGTTTCACTATTATCGGGGCGTACCCTCAATCAACTGCTGAAGTTTGTGTCCTGCACATTCGTCGGGAACGGGTAAGTGTGTTGATGTTCTACCATCTATGTGATCTAGGCAGTCTTCCCGTACATTGTATCATTGCTTCGTTAGATGTTGTCTCTCTGTATTCGAATATCCGAGTGAGTGATGGTGCTGATGCTGTGATGGAGTTGTTCGAAGTCGAGCACACGCCATGCCTCTGCCTAAACCCAACGCTCACACAGCAGGCTGGTCGACCTGCAACGACCCAGCCCGGATATCTGTCGCCGCGAGGAGTTTGAAGCTGTCAAGCAGCTCATGTTCCACGGTAATGGCCTCTCCCTCACTCTCGCTCTTCACACAAACGTCCTGTGTGTTTGATACAGGCGTAGAATTGCTGTCATCGTAGTGTGGTGTCAATGTTTGTTTTCCCTGCACAAAGAACCTTTGCAGGAGTCTGTGTTCTACTTCTCCTGTCCACGTACTGTCATGTGTGCGTGTGTGTGTGTGTGTGTGTGTGTGTGTGTGTGTGTGTGTGTGTGTGTGTGTGTGTGCGTGTGTGTGTGGGTTTATGTGCATGTGGGTGTGTGCAGTGGCGGATCCAGGGGGGGGGGGGGGTTCCGGGGGTTCCATGGAACCCCCTAAATTTTGCAAAGTGTGGTGCTGAGAAATATCGTAAAATATCATGTGTGCACAAAAGCACGTCCGTCCGATCACAGTCAGTGCAGTCACCATGGTCACTGAGTCAAGGAGTACAGACTCAGTGCACTGCATGCGCGTTCGGTAGATCGATACTGCATGTATGCCGGTAGTAGTCTGTATTGGTGTTCACATTCGTGATTTACAAACGGACACTGTAGTGTAGACAACATTGGGTGGTTGTTTCCTTTTTGATCTTTCGAAACGATCCAAACTTACCTCCATTGGCGCTGTCATTCACTGCTGCTCAGGATGGGTACGGTCAGTATTCCTTGGCCAAGTTTTTTTTGCAGAAGAGAAAGGATGTTCCGAGTGATGGCACTCTTCAACGAACTTCGAATCGTGCACGTAGTGTTCAAGCTCCTCAGAAGATGAGGGCTCCGACATCCAAGCAAAGTCAGTAATCTATACCTGCTGCAGCATGCAGTAGTGACTAGTTGTTTCTCCGCAGGAACGGAGTGCTGCGCCAGCGATGTGTTTTAGATGACATTGGAAGGATTGTGCAATTGTCGACACTGTTTCGCTGTTGTTGTTTCTGTCACTGAAGTGAAGACGATGCTCTTGTCCTGTGACTACAGCGCATTTCGCATCGTAAATATGCCAAAAATTTCCGAAAGTACAAATGGACAGGGAGAGTAACTTAGTTGTCATTTCGGCATTCCTGGCTCTCAACGTACCCATGGCTTGCATATTCGATATTTACAAGAAGTTAGTTGAAAGGGTCTTCAAGCCCTCACTGAACCTGTGTTCCCGGCAGTCGATTGCATACATTGTACTCAAGTATAATTATGATGATGTGTCCGTACTAAGTAATGATTATACAATGTAGGGTAAGCAGCAGCATTTGGCCCTGTACAGGCATTCCATCGTCCACCACACCACAACTGCGCGCTCCAGCGATGATGGTGTGCTGTGGCAACGTTATGTGTCGAGGCCGGCTGGAGGGCGCAGTTATCACTGGTTATGGTGTGGTCGATGATGGAAAAATAGATGTCCGTAGGGCCATCCAGAATTAATTCGTTGTTTCGGGTCACCCGACCGACCGTCTTTTTTCACCCGACCGCAAAATGTTTTTTTTTATAGTGCATGCAAATGTACAGACTACACTATATGTACAGGCGCGACCCTAATAATAGCAGTCCAGATATCGACCTCAGAAGCAGCCATGGCTAGCCAAATGACAGGATGCAACGCTTGGTGACGATGTTGTCTTCTATCTCCGATCCGCAATCGGTCCTGAAACAGCATCAGCTCCGCCACCTTGTCGCTATTTACAGAAGTTTTCAAGATGAGAGCTGCTCGTCAGACTCGTTTGCCAGCGAGGCCAAGATCTGGTCCTGGAGGGGACCTGGATCTGATGAGACAATGACTGCGCTGGATTATCTACACTACAGTCAGATTTGATCGACTGGCTTGATGAACAAAAGCTATTCGATGTAACGTTACATGTATGCACATGGACGTAAAGTCGTAAACCAAAAATAAATAAAAAATAAATAAAAAATTATATAAACCCGACCGACTGACCCTGGTACGGATGAGTGAAGTGACCCGAAACAACGAATTAATTCTAGGTGGCCTAGTGTGTTTTAAAAGCATGCGATTCCCACTCCAACACAATCGGATTGTCGTAATTACAAGTGCCAACCGCACAACTTCGAAACAATCTGATTCCATAATATTTTGGCTGTTCAATTTTGGTTCAACCGGAACCCCCCTGTAGTGATCTCTGGATCCGCCCCTGGTGTGTGTGTTTATGTGGGTGTGTGGGTGTGTTTATGTGTGTGTGTGTGTGTGTGTGTGTGTGTGTGTGTGTGTGTGTGTGTGCGTGCACGTGTGCACCAGCCCTAACCTCTATTGCCGGATTGAACTTGTGAAACGAACGCCGCGCACATGGCTCAATAGGCTCACAGTCCGCATAGGAAAATCCCATCTCCACAGAAGATCTGCACACACACACACAGACCACAGACAAGAGAGAACAAGGTTGGAAACGCGTGCACAGTACAGGCAGGGACGTCGGACACGCTACGGTCAGTACGGTATTGACCGCACCACTCTTTGCCCCGGGTACCCCAGGCGAATCAATCAAAAGCACTGATTTGGGCTCTAAAGTTCGGAAAATTTTCAGCCGAGCCACCCCCTCCCAACAAGTAAGTTGCACTTCAGAATTCAGATGACTGACTATACCACCCTAAGACGCTCCTGGCTCAGACTACTGTGTACTTTGGGACTAATAAGCAGGCTTGTGCACCATGGGTCACCCTCGTCATGTACTTCAAAAGTTACCTTTCCGGTCCAGAATCACTTGAAGTCAACAATGTTGCCACCAGCGTCTAGCACAAACACCCGCTCGTACCGTATACTAGTACACTGTGAAGGAGCGTAGAAAAGCAGTGCTTATGGCCACATACACCAACACATTGATATTGGGCTTCTACTCGCGTCGCAACTGCTTCAACGTTTACCCAATCATCGAATGTATGCGTCTACGGACTCTTCTATAGACCAACATGTTACGACTTACACCGTATAAATCGACTTTGCCTGACATTTCTATAGGCACCGAATGTCCATGTACTGATTGCAGTCATGGCAACAGCACAATGAAGTCCTCAAATTTCCGTGAAGTCTTGGCTCTTGACTTACCCATCCACGCTGTCCGGATTGGTCCAGTGCGCTTCGTTGATGTCGCGCTGTCGGTTCTCTTCCAGCTGCTTGCGGTGTTCCGCCTCCTTCTTGCGCTGCATGAACTGCACGGAACGGAGAGCACGGGACAACGTCAGCATGCCTCAACACAACAAGCTGTGTTATACTACTGTACAAGGTACTGTGTTTTACCAGTTAGAATATGTCGACGGGTGAACGGTGATAGCCAACCATGGCAATTATCCGAAACGGTAAAAAAAAGTAAAAGACATTAAGGAATCGTGAGTTAAAATAACCCGAGGTTAACTTGATTTAAGAGAGTACAGATGACGATAAGTAAATGCAGGCGCAGCTAGCCAGAGATAACACGTTTAAATTCCTTGATATCAGTGCATGATTTAAGGCTCAGAGACAGAGCAGAGGTCATTGCACTGATGGTTTCAGGATCAAAGTAGTAGTTATTGTTACAGTTTCTGCTGAGTCATGATAGTTCACTGTGGTCATGATAGTTCACTGTGAACTCCAGACTCTGTTTCTGCCTGCCTGCCTTTTATGCTGGATGATGTAAATGTACCAGCATCGAAAAACAGTGCCCTCTTTTGAACACTGTAAACTGCCTAATGTTTGCTAATTTTGCGAGAAGAGCATAACGTAAATATTAACCATAGTGAAATCAACCGTCAACAGTGGGTGTATGTGTGTGGCCACAGTGCTCCGCGAACATTTGCCATCGTACACTCGCTGGTTCTGAGAAATCGCAAAAAAACAGTGACGCAAACATTGGGCGGTGTACAGTAGTGTCCCGCCTGTGATGGACTTTGAAAAAGTAATGTACTGGGAGTACTAATCGCGTGACTAAAGCAAGTGTTCTCCTCTATCGCTACGATCACCTGTGTAAAACTACAGTCATGGCATGGATTAAGCGGGATTCACAGAAGCTTTTTTGCGATGCGACAGACGCGAAACCGGGAAAACCCCAAATCGCAGCCATGTCACACCCCACGCAACTGGGCCATCGCAGAAGTTGAGCTTGGCTCAACTTTTGCGATGCGACAAGCGATTTGGCGTATGATTTTGACCTTTTCTACAGCAAAGTTGTACAAAGGTTCAAGAGTTGCCTATAAATTTGTACAAGTTGTATCAAACCGCGCGAAAATCATGGTGACGTACGTACCCAAATTCTGTGAATGGTATTTCGCGAGTTCGCATCGCACGCATCCATCGCAGATCGCGTCGTGTGTCGCATCGCAAAAAAGCTTCTGTGAATCCCGCTTTATATCGTAGTACTCCCCCCGTGCCCCCTTGTCAGCCACTGGTTGTGAGACTTACCAACTCAACCTCACCGCTAGGCGCTGCATCTGCCACCTTGTTATACCAGGCATCATGTGGTGGCCTGACACACGCGAACGCTTCCTAAGCTGGTTGTGTTTCTCAGCGCAATTGTATAGCAGGTGATAACACGAAGATGTGAACTTTACTCTCATTTTTCCTAGGACATGTAACGTTATCTATAATTATGCAAATAATAAAGAGTAAAAAAAAGGCTTCCTTCTGTGCAGATCAAGAGTCTCTCCAAGAATGGAATTGCCACACCGAGCGGCACCATATGCAACCAGCCTACGTAACAATCAATGAAACATGTTGAACAATACATGTACACCGGTTTCAGCCCAGTGTAGACTATTTATTTGGTGTATTCTACTGTGTCTAATGTGTCTTCTTCAATGTGTTCTACTGCGAGTGTCATAATCCATTACGAAGTTCAACTGTCTGATGAGTGTTTCTGCGCGAAACTCGGAGTAACAACGAATTTCTCGGCTGTCCATCACTTGACGACTTGCATGTATACAAGTATGTACATTACTGGCAAACAAGCACAAAGTTATGTCCGGTTTTTCCCCATAGTGGAACTTACTTTCATATCTAGAATGGTTTTCGACAGGCTTGCCTTCGGCGAAGGAGACGCGACGTTCGCCATTTCCACGGTCCAAAACTCTTACGCCAGTGCTCGGCTACAGAGAGAACGCTGATAATATCAAGAATAGAATAGAGAACGACCTACAAGTCTTGCTGGAAAATAGTCTTCGGGTTCAAAACACCCATTACAATGTTCTCATGTCCAAGTCAAGATGAATGATCTTCAACAAAAATTTAATAAAAAAAACTCCACTCTTTTCATCACTGTGCCATGACATCATGACATCAACATGCAGCACCGAGGGAGTTGCTATCTTACGACTCCCTGGTGGCTAGCTACACGTATGTACAGTCTGTATCGGCTATAGAGTGACCGGATATAAGAATATATCGGCTACAGTGATAGTGGTACGAAATATCAAAAGCAAAACGTATTTTATCCAGTACAAATATCACTATAACTAATATTATCGGATGTAATGATATATCGGATATTATGATGGCAGCAAAGAATCAAAACATGCATAACACACTATATTATTATCGGCTATAGTGAAACTTTAATATACATGTTGCAATAATATCAAAGGCCCTATTTTTTTACTTTCTTCACGTTGCTTATTTTGATAGTGACACATGTACATGTACATAACAGAATTTTTTATGGAAATGCGGGCGCTGTCAACTATGCAGCATGCTCATTTGTCAAAACGCCATGCTGGATGTATTTCCTTGCCTTTCATGTGTCGATCGAAAAAAATCGATCGTATCGCATATAGTGATGCATCGGTTATAGTGATAAAATCACGGAAATCAAAAGGGTACGCTATAGCCGATACAGACTGTACCCACAGAATTGACGTCACACGGTGATATCATAAAAATAATGATAATGATTATTTGAATTCAGAGTTCTGATATGACGTAAAGTCATTACGTCACAAGTGTAAAAGAGTGCTAACGGGGACGTCCCTTGCTTTTCACACGACTCGCCCCCCCCCCCCCCCCCACACACACACGGCACCTTCCGTGACTGCTTCAGCCTTCACTACAACACAATCATTTTCGTTTAGCAAGACTGCCAAGAGCATGAAATACTGTAGAGAGTACTCGTAGTGGATAGGGTCTGGCCGTAGTACGAGTACGGTGTCACAATAAGTCACTGGTCGATTAATCATCTGGTACATACTGGGGCACGTCCCTCATGGGTGACGCGGCCAGCGAGAGAGTTTTTAATATTCCAGTTACTAGTATCACATGCTAACCGTTGGTGTAGTGTTAACATGTTGGTGGTGATCATGGTGATGGTTATGTACTCTTGATGAACCCCATACATGTACCGTAGTGGCGAAAAGAAATACACACGCATACATACATACACACACACACGCACACACACGCACACACACGCGCATGCATGGGTGCACGGGCCGAGTACAAAACAGGCCAGGAAAGGAGCTGTGACCAGGGAGTGTAGGGCTCCCTGGTTGTGACCCCAAACAACTTACTTGAGCATCAAGGTGATGGAGATACGCAGGATAATCTGGGTGACACACCCTTGACACAATACTGCTGCAACGCTGTGCAATGCAATCCGAGTGTGTGAACCAAACAACATACATCGGGGAGTTGCAAAATACCGGTATTTTACGACTCCCTGATATACCGGTACACTGTACATGACTGTACAGTCATGTAACACCAAGACATTGTACTTTTGTAGGCCATAGGATTAAAGGGGAAGTTAAGGCAAAAATTAAAATTTCACCAGTTGTAGTCTTCGGGGTGCTGACTCGAATGGTCGTGGTCCGAGGAAGCTGAGACGCTCCCTTCCTACTTGAATCCCAATCGAACTCGCGCACTTCCACCGAAACTGGGTGACTGCGCCCTACTAGATGGGGATTTGTATGCAAAATGTCACTAAAAGCGCCATTTCGTTCTTATAAAAGCACGGATGACCGCGATTGGCCCATATGTTGTAGTCTTTGGGACGCTGAGTCGACTGGTTTTGGTCTGAAAAGGCTGCGATGCAGCGTTCCTCCTTTATTCCCAATCGAACATGGTTGAAGAAGCGGTCACGTGGTCCTGGGTGCCCAAATCACCTGGTCACCACGCCAGCAGGTGACAACTTTCACACCAAGGTTCAACTCGGGTTCAACTCGAGTGACAGGACTGCACCCAAAAAAGGTCAAACAGGCTAGTAAGTTGTACCCTGCAGGCACGGTGACCAGGTGACTGGTGTACGCAGGAGCACGTGACCGCTTCTTCAACCATGTTCGATTGGGAATAAAGGAGGAACGCTGCATCGCAGCCTTTTCGGACCAAAACCAGTCGACTCAGCGTCCAAAAGACTACAACATATGGGCCAATCGCGGTCATCCGTGCTTTTATAAGAACGAAATGGCGCTTTTAGTGACATTTTGCATACAAATCCCCATCTAGTAGGGCGCAGTCACCCAGTTTCGGTGGAAGTGCGCGAGTTCGATTGGGATTCAAGTAGGAAGGGAGCGTCTCAGCTTTCTCGGACCAAGACCATTCGACTCAGCACCCCGAAAACTACAACTGGTGAAATTTTAATTTTTGCCTTAACTTCCCCTTTAACTGACGCATGACGTGCTAGAGTAGTACGTGACTACAACAGGCTGCATTCTCAAACTACTCACGACACTGCAAGCAATGCACTAGGACTGACGAGGAGCTGTAAAGTAGACCGACATGCGAATGGCGTGGCAAGCAGATGCGTGCCATAACAAACATCTCAAAATAATGATGAACCGTATTCAGTGCTTTTCACCAGTTATAGGTATGGGCAAGAGCAGGTTTATGTACCCTTGGTATGGGGGATCTACAGTGGTTGCAACTGAAGCCCGATCCCAGCTCGGTGCGCTCACTTTGCAAAGACCCAGCACGCGCTTGTATACTACCAAATAGACATGGGTAGAATCGAAGCCAGGGGGCGGATTCCAGTATCCAACACTGCACTGGTAACTGGTAAAATACGATACTCAATATCCGGACAAACAGCTGTTTCAACCTGGCTAATCCTCATCAGCGGAGCTAAGAGTACTAGTGACTGGATGAACCGATAGCAGTGACGTCTAGTCAACAACAAAGCACTATTTTAAAGTTTTTTTTACCAGCTCAAAGCATGCGGGTCAGAGGGGTCCACAGTCTGTCCCCGGGGAAAATTGCGGAAAAAAATCGCAAAAAACGCGGCATCATATGGCATAATTTGCGGTGAATTTGCGGTAAATATGCGATGAGTAATATAGATGTGCGGCAATTTTCAGTGAGTATGTAGTGAAATCAATCAGTTACAAGTCTCTGGTGTAAGCACTCGTCATATTTGAGTAAAAAGCCGCCACGATGAGACGTTGCTGACCGAACAGTGCACTGTGTGTACGTGTAGTGCAACAAAAAAAGTTCAAAAACCGAGGGAAAATCGCGGAAAACGCGGTCTTTTAAAAAATCGCCAAAAAACGCGGAAAAACGCGGCCGCGGAATCGCAATTTTCCCCGGGGGACAGCACAGTGCAACTGCAAGAAGAACAGCGAGCAAATATCATCGTACCACTACAGCCAAGGACTATTTTGTAAGTTTTGGGCACTAAAATAGTGAAATAAGGGGGACTACCCCCCCCCCCCCATCCTCTAATTATGGGAACAGAGATGATCAACACAATACTGTAAGACATGTAAATCTAACGAGGAAGCAAATCTAACGTTTTAACGGGTGAAATTTCTTTGTTATAATAAGTTCTATTGAGGTTGTAAGGCCACGTATGTGATATGTGCGGATATGCCTGAAGACTGTACGATCGTTATCGTGTTATCGTACAGAGAGCGGAGTCCTCCGGCTCGATAGAGTGCTCAATGCGGAACCAGAGCAGTAACACATGCAGTTGTCTGAAGATTGCCATCTGGCATGAAACTTTTAGTTGCAACAATCCAGACGCGTGGTACTCTGTGACTCGTGTCGTGTTATCGTATGTTCTCGTTAACCTATGGATTTTGGACAATCGTTAAATTTGCAACTCGTTATAATAACATGTCTTACAGTAAACTATTCGACGGCCAACTGCCACGTACTACGTGTGCGGCGTGGGTTCAAGGGAACTGTACCCACGACCCACTACAGAACTGCTCAATCACATCCAGTCGTGTCAATCAAGTATGCCCTGGGCGCCACACTGCCCTAGACCTGCGAACACTGGGCTGCGAAATGGTGTAAAGCGCAAACTTGAGTGACGCGACCGGATTTCATTGAGCAGCACTGTACTACGAGAATATGAACAAGTGCTCGTCCGTGCTATGCGTGTGTATATATATATATGTGTGTGTATTGCTATCAGGTTCGGCCTCATTTCCTCTGTGCTGCGCTGATGAGTTCAAAAAGAACGGAACAGCATGCTGTCCGCAGATTGAGTATATGTGTGTGTATATATATGTGCGTGTTTTACAGTTACAAGTAGGACATGCATAGTCACATACAAGAGCACCTGGTTATGTACTGTTGATACTACACTCCTATCTCTTATCCAGGCGGTCCAGGACCGAGCACTACCCTTCATGTGTACTTTCAAATGTCACTAGAAAATTGTTTTTCCTCGCCTTGTACTTGTAAGAACATTGCGCACAATCAAAGATAAAGAATGTCGAGTGTCAACACTTTCAGTTTCACGTGCTTGCTACACTCATCCTCTCTGCTGAGTGAGCATGAGTGCAAGCTGTTGATAAAAGACAACAGCTCCCGGCCGGGGTAGATCTACACCGGTGGCGATGGTGAAGTCATGATATTTTTCGTACATGTGCACTACATGACTCGACTGTACAGTCTACAAGTACAAGCAGAGACTGCATTTTGCACGTGGAAGCACCTGAGTCACACACTCCTTTCAGCAGCTGCATCACCGATCCGACCCGTACGTGCATATGATAGAGGACACCAGTAGTAGTACTACAAAACTGCAAAGATCAGAAGAAGTAAGTAGTTCAAGATCTCGCTTACCAGCACTGCACGGACAGCAATAATGGCTCTGCAGCATACTACCACTGGCACTAGAGAAGTGCCATTGGGTACAGTAGGATCCAAAAGGCAAAAACGCGAACTATTGTGAGGGCAACTCGAAGAGAGCTTCGCCTTGACAACTCCATGGTATCACCAACAGCTGTTGCCGACAACACAATGATGAGCTATTGCCTCAAAAGGTGCATTGCACATCCACAGCTGTCAAGAACAACACTCGTCAACAGGGAGTCTGGAAAAAAGAGCAAGCCCGAAATGAGTTGTGAACTGACAAACTGAGGTTGAGATCAACCACACCACTGTCCAAGCGACACCACGTGTGCGTGCTGCACCACCCATGATGTACGTGAGAATTTTGGGAAACCCGACTCAGAACGCTTGTTGCCCTGCCAACGGGACCACACGGGTGTAGCGCCGCGCGGCTGCGATGAGGAATTTCGAATCTAACCTTCAAACCAGGAGGTAACTGTTGGCAACGTTATTATCTGCCAATCAACGCCGGCCATCAACCGTTGAGAAGGCGCATTTTGCACGTTCAACAAAACGGCAAGGAGCAGCCATTACGACCGGAGCAGAACTCAAACTGCGTGCTAGTTCAGCTGTTGTGGAAGTTCAAGAGCCTTTCTCCTTCGTTCCACTTGGATTTTTTCTTGACAAAATCGTACATAGCTCAAAGATGCGTGAGATTGTTCATATTCAGGCTGGCCAATGCGGCAACCAGATTGGAGCAAAGGTGGGTGCTTTATCTGCCAGAAAGACACGCTCGTGGGACTTCTTTTCACGGACCGTTTCGCTTCTCTTTTTTTCTCTACGGCGGTGTGCAGTTCTGGGAAGTTATTTCTGATGAGCATGGCGTAGACCCCACGGGAGCCTACATTGGCAAGAATGATCTGCAATTGGAGCGGATTAATGTCTATTACAATGAAGCCACAGGTGGGTATAGCTGGAGACAATTTTGTGTGCCGGCCAGTACACTTCTTTCCCGCCGCCAGAGCCATGTTCAAACTTGTGCCATTTGGTACCTTTTTCTTGTTGCTTCTTTCTGTCAACTACAGGTGGCAAATATGTCCCGAGAGCCGTCCTTGTCGATTTGGAGCCAGGCACCATGGACTCTGTCCGCTCTGGTCCCTTTGGACAGATTTTCCGACCAGACAATTTCGTTTTCGGTGAGCACAGAAATATTGGCAGTTATTTTCCCGTATAAAGTTCATCCTTTTTGTGTAATATGTTTGGATCTTGAGTGCATCTCTACTCGCAATGCAAGCACATTACCTATTTTAAAGTTACTTGGATTCTTCGACTTGTTCTGATCATGAGAAATTGCGTCCCAGACCCGCTTGGATTCAACTGTAAGCTAAGCTCTCTATTTTTTTGCCTTTTTGGATTTGTTTTTCAGGCCAGAGTGGTGCTGGAAACAACTGGGCCAAGGGTCATTACACCGAGGGCGCAGAGTTGGTGGACTCCGTGTTGGACGTTGTCCGCAAGGAGGCTGAGAGCTGCGATTGCCTGCAGGGATTCCAAATGACCCACTCTCTGGGTGGTGGCACTGGATCAGGTCTGGGAACACTCCTCATCTCCAAAATCCGTGAAGAGTACCCCGACAGAATCATGAACACATTCTCAGTCGTCCCTTCACCAAAAGTATCCGACACTGTTGTAGAACCCTACAACGCAACTCTTTCCGTCCATCAGCTTGTTGAAAATACCGACGAAACGTACTGCATCGACAATGAGGCTCTCTACGACATCTGCTTCCGTACTCTCAAGCTTACCACTCCCACATACGGTGACTTGAACCATCTCGTGTCAGCAACGATGAGCGGTGTTACTACTTGCCTTCGATTCCCTGGACAGGTAATTTCCTCTATTACTTGTTTTATGCTATTTGGTCAAACTGTAGGGAATTAATTATTTGAACCTGCATTCACTCCTTGTGTACGTTGTGGGAACTGTTCCTTCCACTTGGGACAACAATGGTGCACGTAATCAGTGTGTACGATAGAGGCCTGGGGTTAAACAGGATGTGACAGGGAAGTGTGGTATATCCGTCGTGTGTACCGTCTTGTAGTTGTAATCAGCCAAATAATTCCGCTGTCAACTGCCCCAGATCCTTAGACGCCTTTTCTTTTTATGTTTTTTGTGCAGCTCAATGCTGATCTTCGTAAATTGGCCGTCAACATGGTGCCATTCCCTCGTCTTCATTTCTTTATGCCCGGATTCGCCCCACTTACTAGCCGTGGTTCTCAGCAGTACCGCGCCCTAACCGTACCAGAGCTCACGCAACAGATGTTCGATGCCAAGAACATGATGGCTGCATGCGATCCTCGCCATGGTCGCTACCTGACCGTCGCAGCAATGTTCCGTGGACGCATGTCCATGAAGGAGGTTGATGAGCAGATGTTGAACGTGCAGAACAAGAACAGCTCCTACTTTGTTGAATGGATTCCCAACAACGTGAAGACCGCCGTGTGCGATATCCCACCACGTGGTCTTAAGATGTCTGCCACCTTCATTGGCAACAGCACTGCCATCCAGGAGCTGTTCAAGCGCATCAGCGAACAATTCACAGCTATGTTCCGTCGCAAGGCTTTCTTGCATTGGTACACTGGTGAGGGCATGGACGAGATGGAGTTCACTGAGGTAGGCTTCTTTTGTTTCTATCTTTTTGGCTCTGTTGGTTTTACATCTTTCTCTTTGGGTTTGTCTTGGCTATTTGGATTCTCTTGCCTGCTGAAATCCTGGTGTAGTTTGGTTTCCAATTCCGTGTTTGTGTGCTTGTGTTTTCTGTCCCATGTAGGCCGAGTCCAACATGAACGACTTGGTGTCAGAATACCAACAGTACCAGGAGGCCACAGCTGAAGAGGAGGGCGAGTTCGACGAAGAAGGCGAGGGTGGTGAGGCAGAAGAAGCATAGGCTGTTTATAAGATTGAATCTTCATTTTTACAATTGTAACGACTCCATTACATTATGTCCCCTTCTACCGTCTCTGTCCTGGCTTACCAATATATTCTTTCCCTCCGCGTCTTAACTCTGTTGCTTGTGTCGTAGTGTGTGTGCTTCATGGAATTTTCATAAAAAAATACATATACAGTTCATATTAGCCTTGAGTGTGTTGCATTAACTGTCGATTGCTCTCTCATACACCTTTTCGTTATATGACCTCTATCTCATGCATCTCAATATTTTATGCCCGAGAGAGCCTAAGGAACTCTACGATGTGGCCTCAACTGCATGTTTCCTGCTTATCTGGAGGTTGCTCCAGCTTTCTAGCATTGCGTCTTTGTTCATGTGTTTCCCTTTGACCGGTCAGTTTTGCCTGTTTCAACTTTCTTTGTTAGCACATTCTGTTTCTGTTGCTAGATGAATTGAAAGCTTGGCGCTGGTATCAATACACTCGACTCATCCTGTCCCAGAAATATCTTGTGTTGTGTTCGTGGGGTGTGTGTAGCAGCTCGTATTGGCCCCGTTCCTTGTGTCCTTCGAATGATAGTACTATTGTTTTGCTCGAGACTTGGTACAGCTGGTCCTTCACTTTGTCAGCAGCATTGCATCTGCAAGTTCTGGTTCAGTTTTCTTGATCAGCTTTTGCAACCCCACTACATTGGTCGAGAGACCGTAGCCCCCCTCTCTCACACACACATTGACTGTGTGTAACTCGCTCTAGTTTGGTGTAGGTTAGAAAAGTAGTCATCCAGAGGGGTTTATATTTTGCTGAATGGTTGCAGTTTCTTTTGACGTGTAGCGAGCACACGGACACCTGACCAAGGGGAGAGTTCTTGGAGTTTCATTTTGCTGAATGGTTGATTGCAGTTTCATGTGTAGCGAGTACATGGAGACATGTACACGACAGTTCAAGTTTTGATTTACCCATCACTATCTTCAAGAGTTCATAACCCCGGGGGTTATGAACTCTTGATATCTTGTACAGCATTTGCTCATGATTGTAATGTTCCATTTTTGGCAAAATATTTCCTCTCAGAGTCTCTGTGTGTGCTGAAGTACTGGTACATGCACATGTAGACAGTTCAGGATCAACAAAATTAATAATGAATGCTGTCCAATGCAGTTCTCCTGCAGTGTAGCAGTGTTTTTGGTCATCTACATTGTCTACTGCCCTGATGTACTCGCCGGTAAGTCTGAAGACCGAACGATCTAGGATTTCAAGAAGCGCGTTATAGTTTTGTAGCATTATAATAATTATAGAGCTTGAGGTGGTGGTGGGGTCACCGGTATTGTCAAGAGTAAAGTACTCTTGGTATTGTGCTTCTACATCAGGGAGTCATAGACTAGATTCCCATGCAGCTCTACATGTATAATCAAGAGTATTATAACCCCCGTGTTATAATACTCTTTGTATAATTAATTTAAAAAATTATGCAATCAGAGTGTTCTAGTGCAATCAGCCCGCCCTTTGGGTTGGGGAGTGCAGTGTATACCGATTCCTTGAGTAGTACTCGCTCGATTTAATTTTGTTTGCGAACGAGCAACATACTCATTCTGAAAAAAAGTAGTCAAGCATACATGTAGTTTAGCATGTGCATGCAGCAGCAAACTACGCCTGCACTACAGTTTACAGTACTTTCGGGTGCCGAAGACTGTGACGGGGGGGGGGGGGCAGAGTCGTAGCCTACGCTAAATTTCGTGTTCGTGTTCGCGCTCCAGTTAATGTCGAACTCAGCGGCGAAATTCGCGTTATGATGAGGATCAGCAAACCGAGTTCATACTCGCATGACGTTGACAGGTCATACATGTATATGTATACAGCCAGTACAACATAGCAAATAGTTTGTGACTGTCCCGACATGAATACGTGATTCGTATTTCGACTGCTTTTCATAACGAAAAGTGCGAAAGTTCAGAGCACAGCCTTTGCAGGAGGCAAAGTTCGCAATCCCGAACGCAAAGTTTGTGATGTCCGTGACGTCCGTTCTGTTTGCTGACCCTCGGTCAAGTCTGGCCTGGTCCCATGGACTATCCATTCAACCAGGAACAGAGACTTGCTAATAGTATACATGTACATGAGTAAGTCTGCTATGAATCATCTGTGGCCACGTGGCCGGTATGAAATGATGCATTGTTCAAAAATGTACTGCACTGTGGCTGCACAGGCATCTTCGCATTTGATGATTATTTGTCTGTAGTGCACGGTGTCCCGAAAGTGTACCATCAAAGAAAACTAGCCCCAACGCTGGTTGTATTTAGACCACTCTATTCGCGCACGATGGGTTTTCGGCAGTGATGTTAGTTTATTCATGGCCATAAGAATCCCGTTTGGCCGGACTGCCTGAAATCCCGGTGCTACTGCCCTTATTGGTTTCTCTGTTTATCATTTTCATTGGATACTGTATTTTACGGAGTAAGCCGCACTTTTTAGATACCAGTAATTCACCAAAAAGACGCCGGGTTACGGGGTATGTTATTAATTGTCAGCAAGAAACCAAAGTCGGGGCAGATGGCTGTTTCCCACGAATGTCAGTGTGTAACCGTGTGCTTGTCTTGAAAGTGGGGCTGTGTGTTGTGTCAAACTAACTTCTGCAAATGATTATAATGCCTGTGGTCGAACACATACATGTGCGTGTAGACACGAGAGAAGACTGATTTTGAAGAGTCTTGTGCCCAAAGTAAAATTAATAGTTGTGGAATAGCTGTTCGTTTTCGCCGGAAGCATGTGCTGGCTGTCCTTACAAATAAGGAGAATTAAATCTGAAACCTCGTGTGCCCCAGTAGCGTAGTCGGTTAGCGCGTCGTACTTATAAGCAGTGCTACTGTAACTGAGTTATGCGAAGGTCGGGAGTTCGAGCCTCCCCTGGGGCAGCAATCCACTGCAATGTGGAAAGCTTTTTTTTCTTTTTTTCCCCAAGAAGTAATTTTCCTTTCAAGAAGATTCTTTTCAGTTTTGTCCCTTCTTGTTGAAGAACCAGTCAGTACAAATAAAAGGGACGGACGGCGAAGCGCATTATCGTTTCGTTGATTGGAGCATTGCGACCCACGACCTAGTTTCTCCTGCGTCTTCCTTTTTTGAATGAACGATATTTCAAATTCAAGTCGGTGTAGAAATTCATTGGAGTGATTTCATTTCCTCAATCATTGTTTGAAGATTATTCTTATCTAAAATGGATACTGAAGGTGATCATGATGAAGGGGCTGCTGGAAATGGCAACGGTCGTCAAACGCTTTCGGTACGCCTATGAAATACCATGTGAGATATATTTTAGAATCAGTAGCTGTTGACATCCGTATGTCCACTATTCAACCATTGCTGTGTCCTTAGGAGTATGTCAGTGAGCGGCGACTGGAAGCAGGTATATTCGTGCTGCGCATGTCAACAATTTTGCATGGCTTGCTAGCCCTGGTCCCGTTTTTTCTGCGGTAAGGAGGCTCTTTTGTCCGTTGTTAATGCAGCTCAAAGACTTTTCATTGTATTGTAGGTTTTTTTGAAAAACAACCAGCTAGAGTGTTTACATACATTTAGATGGTGAGCACGACGATGACATCACGACAGGACCATGTACCAAGCCGCAAGCGCGTTTGGATCATATTCTTTATCAATAAAACTAATGTTGATAGCATTCTAAAGACGAAACTAGCACGCCGTGCGAAGCCAAAGACCGAGGAACAGGAATCAGCATGCAGCTGTAAAACAAAACTCTTAAATAAATAGATTTTGAGGATAAATCGGAAGCTGATGCAATTTCGAAAATTGTGTATGCGCATCGACACAATCCACAGAAAAAGAGTCATACATTCTCAGTCTATTCTGAACCCCGGCACTTGTGCTGTTGACCCGGGCCCGTAGCAGCCTCATTCTGGCTGGTCCGGCAAGATACAACCTCGATTAGCACCTCCCCCACCGCCGCCGCACGGACACACACACACACACACACACACATACCGATACTCGCATCATACTATGTGCACAGTTCTAACTCTGCCATGGGGTGTATTGTGGGTGCACACACTGCGGGTCTAACTCTTCCATGATGTGCTGTGTGAGTGCGTGCACACACACACACACACACACACACACACACACACACTACTACTACTGTAGCTTGGTTGCCACAAGGGCCACACCACTCCGAAAGGAGCCAGAGTCATTGTCAGGAGCAGAAACGGAGATGACGACTCAGGTCACTCTGTCGACAGAACTGACGGTTGCAGCGAGAACAGCGAACACCATACGACGCTCTATCAGACTTGGTTGCTCGATGGCCACGGTCGCACTTGTGACGTCTGAAACCAGGCACTGACTTGAATTGCCGATTGCATGTCACACACAAGAGAGAAGCTGGGACGTTGAGCGGAATAGGTGATGCCGGCGTGGACGCTTCCGATGGTTCCAGGGGCAAACAATGATGTGCACGCAAGCCACCACGAGAGTGAAACCACCTCCTGCATGTACCACACTGCACAGCACCACGCTGCTCCTGGATGGGGAGACTTCGCTCTGCGCTACACTTGTGTCTTGCTTTGTCACCTGGCCGATGAAACGAACGGCGGCAGATAAGACAGTCCACCCGTTGAGATTGATCATGGGAAGGACCGCCGAGGCTCGGCCCAATGGCAGACACCCGCCAGGCAGACCGATCCTGAGCAATCCCATACCAAGCCAGATGTTCAATGCCGATGTGCCGAAGATCAGCCGAAATCACATCCCTCCAGCGACGACGGGGACCACACGCAGGCCGAGGCGACGGTAGGAAGCCAAACAACAGCTGCTTGGGCACACGAACATCCGACATGCGGGCCACATGGCCAAGCCATACAAGCCTCCGCTTCCGAAGCCGGGAGCACAATAGCGATGGATCACCCCACATCTCTCGTAGCTGCTCATTGGTGATGCGTTCCTCCCACTGTTGTGTTCGCGAAACACACAAGATGCTACGGATGCATTGGTGGTGGAAGCTATCGAGGCGCCGGAGGTCACCCTGCAAAGGGCACCAGCACTCCGAAGCATACAGTAGCACTGTCATCACACAGGCGTTATACAATCGGCGCTTCACATGGAGTGAAAGATCACGATTAGCAAACACATCCTGGAGCGATCCAAAGGCACGCGAGGCGAGTGACAAACGCCCCGAAATGTCTCCTGCAGAACGCGCATCCGGAGTGATGACAGAACCCAGATAAACGAAGGAGGAAACATTTTCCACCACCTGTCCATGAAGCGGAATGCCAGCAGTGTCGACTGAAGTAACACCAACACCAGCCACCATAAATTTGGTCTTGGGTATACTCACAGTGAGGCCAAATTCAGCAGAAACATCCTGGAACGCCGTCAAGGCCAACACAGCATGCTCCCGCGAACCAACTACAAAGTTTGCATCGTCCGCATACTCAACATCAACAACAGCGGTCTGCTGATAGGTACGGGTTCGTCGTGCTGGGTTGAATAACTGGCCATCCAAGCGATAGTGAAATTGGATGCCAATGTGTGGGTCACGATCAGCGAGAACAGACCGCCAACGTTCAACCACCAGAGCCAGATAGAGGTTAAAGAGGATTGGGGCCATTACACACCCTGCCTTAGGCTGTTCTCCACACGAATTTCATCCGTGACACCTCCAGGCACACGCACCTCCGCCACCATGCCATCATGAAATGACTCCATGACCTTGAGGAGAGTCGGAGGAATACCAAGGACAGAAAGAGCACGATACAGTGCAGCCCTAGGCACAGAATCATATACCTTTCTCAAATCCACGAAGATACAAAATATTTTTGTATGATGCTCGTATGCCTTTCCACCAGTTGCCGGACAGTAAACACAGCATCAGCACAGCCACGGTTGGGTCGAAATCCGCACTGAGACTCCGGGAGGAGATGCTCGGCTCTAGATTGAAGGCGGTTCTGTATCAAGCGACCAGCCATCTTGCCCACCACCTCCAAAAGAGAGATCCCACGCCAAATGTCACAGAGCGCTAGATCTCCACGCTTTGGGATTGGCACCAGCTGGGCATTCCGCACACACACACACACACACACACACACACACACACACACACACACACACACACACACACACACACACACACACACACACACCTGGTCCTGGTAAACGTTGCCATTACGGTCACGTGTCCCCTTGCGGGGCCGACAATATGGAACGACGAGCGACGGCAAAAACTGGAAAGTCGGCAGTCCGTTGAGAGGTCAGGGACCATGTTCAATTGGCATCACGGGAGAGACATCTCTGGCAGCTATGGATCTGGAAGCCATGAGTAGAGCAACAGCACCGACCACGGGCCCCACACTGGGCCTTGCAACATAAGAGAGCGAGCCGGACACGCGGCGGCGGAGGAGTCGGCTGAGCAGTAATGGCGGACATCGCTGTTCGGCATGGAGCTTGAGATGATGTTGGGGGGGGGGGGGGGAGCGTCTGGGAGATGGGGTACTTGTGGACCGCCAAACCTCCGGCACTGCAAAACCAGCGCTGGCAGGTAGAACATTGTCGGCTACCTCTCTGTTCCGATACAGGTTTGCGGCACTCACCGATGCATTTATGACGAGGCAAACCACTCCTGGAGAAGAGGCGACCACACTCGGCACAAGGTACCCGCGGAGGCGCACAAACGGGTTCAGGCGGGGGCAGAACATTGTAGGTGGCCCGCCATTCTCGTCTATCCTCGGCCAAGTCGTACCATTTGTCGATGCCCAACACGGCCAGGTCCTTCCGCGCAGCATCGCGCCACCTTTGCTGGCTGATACCCATG